CGGGAGCTGACTGGCCACTGATCCGGACAATGAACAACGGCCTTATCTTATCGCCCCCGCCGGTTCGAAATTCGAAATTCCAAAGTCGAATCATCAGCCGTGACTTGGCTTAGTCGCCGAGTCCGTGCGCGGTAGGTATGTAACTATTTGTTGCGTCGCACATCCCGAACTGGCCGGCAATGTAGAGTAGAGTAGAGTAGAGTACATAGAGCAGGTAGGTACTCTGCAGTTGAGTGCATTGGGGGCTCCGTATTCCGCCGTTGTCTCCGACTCCCCGAGTTTTTCTCTCCTCGGAAACCTCCAAAGCTCGCACACAGCACACAGCACACAGCACACGACTGCCCCTCCCCCTTGATTGATACTGTACTGTTCCTAGTCGGGTAGCGCATCCATCATCATCCGGCACCGCTCTATATACCCCCAAGCCCAAGCCAGGATAGATATTCCGCGTCAATATCCACGTCCTACATACATAGCTCATACTTACATACCGCACGGTCCCTATGTACCTAGTATATACTCAAGTACGATACTTGCGTAAGTTTTGTATATAAGTACTATATCCCGCATGCGTTCCGTCCTGCATTCCGGGGAAGAACTCGGATTAACTACGCTGTATGTACCTACACGGAAATCTGCTGTGTTTAATATATGTACATACGAGTACATCCCGCTAGAGTACGCTATGTACTCTACTGTACTTTACTCGTACTCTACTCTCCCCATGTAGATACATATGTTCCGACCTCCCCTGCGGCGGCCGCGCAGGCAGGGGGGGTTTCGGATAAACTCCCGACAGTCGACGGTCGACGGTCGGGCCTGCCTCTTTGGTGCAGTGGGGGATGGCGAACGGCCGCTTTGGGAAGTGGGGAGCGGCCGGATTAGGTCTGGCGGCGGTTGCCGTGGGAGCGCGGAGCGGGAGTGGGAATGTGAGTGATGGGAAGAGGGAATGAAGCGTCCCCCCCTAATCTATCTACCTACTCTTTACCGCTCGCCTCCGCTCGACTCGCGGCTGAGACGCAGGCGACAAAAGCAAACGCGCCAACCGCCTGGGAAGGGGCATAGCGGTGAATGGGATATGGAATATTACTCGCCACCCGGCACCGGACGAAGCGATGGAAGTTGGTCGGCCTTTAGACGTTCTGTATACCGTAATTTGTGGACACATCAGCATTGGCGGGATTGGTCTCTGTACTATAGTAGTAGTCTCGACGATTGCGTTGCCGGACGGCCGGTGTGGCAAGCGGGAGCACGGGGAATCACTCGACGACTTGCGGCTGCTGAAGCGATGTCAACGCTGGCTTTCACGGCTCATGGTATTCACAGCTATCTAAAGCCTGGGAGTTTGCTATAGGAACCAAGTGGCAGCCGTATCCTAGGCTTGCTGCATCAGTACCGTATTAAACCGGAGTTCTGTAACTAGAATCCGGCTTCTGCGTAAAACCGGTCAGTAGGCGGGTACTAACAGCAGTCAAAGACGGTATTTCTGTGGCCCAAAGTGTTGGTGGGTATTCACGATGTTGCCATGGGAACCGGTGCTCTCGCAGCATACGTCATCTTCACAATACCGCGCGAACAATAACCTCCGATAAATACCGATTCTGCGGCATACGTTGTTTCTGACAAAGCGAGCTGATTTTGTCACACCGTATCCACCCCTCCTTCTGCAGAATACGGTTGGACGACGGAGTCAATTTTACCCCGGTTTTTGCTACAGTAGGTAGGTACTCTATGTATCCAGCAGGACCGTATGTATGGCAGGACCGGTATCCATAGCGATATAATGCGCCATCCTCGACAGCAGGCCCCGCCTGGACAGGGCTGGGCTGTGCAGTGCTGTATCTTCGGTAGGATTCATTCCAGACAGAAGCAGCAGCGGCTTCTGCTGTTAATAAGCCGACTCATCGGCACGTGGCTCGGAGGGTCGTCCTGGGTCCGCGACCAACGGATGGAGACTGATCTCGTCCAGACTGTGGAGAACACTAGCGTCTCTCTCGAAAAGCAACAGTCGTTGCACTCAATATTCGGCTTCGGCCGAATAAGTCTCGGCCAGCGGGCTGATCTGAATGTATGTGCCCATCGGGCGCCAGGTCCTCGGGAATGAGGGGCTCTCTTGTGGAGAAGCGGAAATACCAGAACCAACACCATTGGCGAGGGCGTTAGCAATAGCAGCCTCATTGCCAGTAGACGTGAGCGCGGCCGACCTGTCATGAACGGCTCCTTCGTGCATCCGATGCTGGGTGGGGGGGGGGGGGGGGGGTCATCAATTTGATTTCGCATCTATGAGCCTTTGTAGACTACGGCGAACACCAATTACACAACCAACCCTACTCCGTCCGCGAGACTATCTATGTGGCTCTCCCTATTGCCCTACTGGCCCGATCGGTGGTTACCACTCCTCCCCACCATCCTCCTCAACTCCTCCCACCTACTCCTCCCAATTTTTCCTCAGAAGTAGACTCATCTCCTCTTCCTTCCCCTTTTTCTCCCTGGCCCTTCTCCCCACATCGGTCGCCTCCAGAAATTCCAGAACTGCTGCTGTGCACCTCTCATCCGCCAACAGATCTCCAATTCGGAAACGATCTCGTCCACGCTTTGTTTCCAGCCGGACTGCTTTCCATAGTGCTTTCTGTTGCTCCCGCCATGCGGTGCATACTTTAAACAGATGTTCGCGTGTTTGGCAGGCTCCAGGTTTGGAGCACCACCAGCACCAGTCGTTCGATTGGCTTCCGATTCGTTTTAGATATGGTGCAATAAGGGCATGCCTAGTCTTCAGCTGGTGATGCCTGGATGCAGTAATCTTCTTCGCTTTTGATGCAACTGGGTCAGGCCGGTTTTTCCGCCACTTGCGGCACTCGACGTTGTATATTGGGTTGGTTATCCGTCCGATCCTGGGTGGTGGGAGTTCTCATTGCGGGAAGGGTGGCGGCAGTGGCGGCAGCAACCTCGGCACGGTACAGGGCACAAACCTCCGCATATGTTATTTTCGGCTCGCTGTCGCTTTCGGACCTGTGGATAGCCTTTAGAAAATCAGACATCGTTGCGTGTGGTCTTAGAAGGTCGCGAATATGAAGGCTACCTGGATCAACAGCCATACCCGTCGCATGTCGTGCGGGGTGGCCGAGTAGCCGAATGCCTTGCCGAGAGTAAAGCGGGTGGTAGTGGAACCGAATGGTTTTTAGTTCTGATTTGTTGAGCGGTGGAGTTGTCCGGTTGATGGTGTGGGAGGAAGAAAGTGGGAGGAAGAAGGTGGGAGGAAGAAGGAAGGCGAAGAAGGAAGGGGAAGAAAGAGAGGGAGGGGGAGGGGAGCACTAGAATGGAAAGAACCAACACGGTGTTGGGAACTTAATCGCCGTTAACAGTCTGTCGCTGCCGGCGAAGCATGTTGTATCACTCACCTATTGAGTGATGACGTGTGGAGCGTTGCCCGAGATCCAGGGAGCAGCTTTTCGCCATAGTCTAGATAGACTGCATGCGAAATAAACTGAAGATCTTTCTCTCTATAGACAATCCGGGCTAGCACTGTATATAGCCCGGAGTCGACGAGGCGAATAGACCATCACCTTCTCATTCATCTTGTTCCTGTGCATAACAGGACAGCACCAGCGGTGGGGGTCCAGCGGTGCCGTGTGCTCTCTTAACCTTCGGCTCAACTTCAGCTTCTCTTTCTTCTTCTTGATCTTTTCATCATCATCATCCTCCAGATGAACTATCAACCCTCACATCCTCTCATTTTCTCTGTGTGCTTTCTTTTAGATCCCGCCTCCGGCCTGGAGGAGTGTTGCCCACGAACCGCTCGCAAAACCGCCACCCCAAAACAATGACCAAATCCGACAGTAAAACCAACACACCTGCATGTCTTTGGCAAATGTAACTGCCGGCCTATGAGGGCCTCTGATGAATTTCGCTCCCGCAGTCTCGGACCATGGAGCGTAACTCGATCTAACAGCGTCGATACACGGCCTACTGGCCTTGCATATGATCTTCTTATTAGTATGAGACGAATAAAGGTGAGAATTGTAAATTTCCAAAATCTCTGTCTAACGAGATGCTTCCTTATCGTCACTCGGACGGCCGGAGGAGAAACGATAAGATAGGACCGGCCGGAAGCCCCGTCATCCTCATAGATTATTACCATATTTACTAAAATCAATCTGTCAATTATTGACCAATAAAATTGCTTGATCGCCTTTTAAAGGCGGCGATCAGAATGCTAATCTCGAGTGATATTCCATGAACATTAGTAGGCATGGCCTACGACTCAGTCCTGCTTTCCCGCTGCCCAACGTGCATCGGATTCTACTTACTCAAACTCGGATATAGATTTAAACTTGAGACATCGTCGGATAGATCGATTCAATCTGTTTCTCGCCGAGATGGTGGTTGTAAGGTGTTGTCTTTGCGATGTGTGGCTAGCCAACAATCTCAAAGGGCGACAACGACAACTAGTGGAGTGGTCACAACGACAGCTCGCTCAAATAAAGTTGTCGTCGAAGCAAATAGGGCTTCACATGCCGTTCAAATCTTGGGGTCGAAGCACTTAGGGCTTCACGTTGTAGCCCACACACCCAAATAGTTTTTGTGCAGCCCTCCGATTCTCTACCACCACCAACTCTCTCACCTCCTTCTCACTTCAACCTCTCACTTCAACCTCTCAGCTCAACTTTTCCGCTACCACAACTACCTACGGCCTTTGATATCACCATCGCTACCACAAAAGACTTCACCACACTTGTTGTCACTCATACCTCTTGATAGACATGAAAGACCAGAATAAGAATAGTAAGTGAATCATACCCCTCTGCTCTCTCCTAGGTGAAAATACATCTGGAGAACTTGTGGGAGTTTTGCCTGGGCTCGCTGTGAGGAATACAGACACTCCATGGAGCATGATTTGCTTCAATTGTTCCATGGAATGGGATGGCATCCGGTTTCCTTTAGCTGCGCAAGGGCCAAAGCTGTATAGCTGTATTTGGCTGCGAATTTGATAATAACGGACCATGGCAGATCGACCGCGACCGCGATGGCTACCATCGTCTGAAACAGCACCGGAGAGTATCCAGTCACCTTCGGGTTCGGGTATGTCATTTCTGTTGTGATCCGTCCGCGATGCAAACCCGTGCATAAGCTGATATTCAAGCAGTGAGATACATTACCACAGCTAAACGCCCGTCTGGCGGCTCTAGGCTCCAGACAACTAGACCCCCCGCTGCGGACAGTAATCTGGACAAATCCACATTTTCAATGTTCACTGTCAAGATCCCGCATAAAGGACATGGAGGTTCGAGCCAGAAGAAGACTTCCTCAAACAAAGACCACCGCACCCATCCTAACGGCGGATTATCTCCTAACAACAAGTATGCGTTTGAAGATATGGCGAAGACCGATATTGGAGATACTCGCTCACAAGCTCGGGCCAGTTCAAGTAAGAATACGGAAAAGAAACACCTTGCCATGAAGACCCCCCCCAGCAACATCAAGCACTATGTGTTTGTAGATGTTCTTCCCGAAAATAACGACAAAATTTTTGATTCCCGCGATGCTTCACTGGGAAGTCAGCCCCGATACATGTGGCACCAGCAACAAGCGGGCCGCAGTAAGCGACCAAGGGCCGAAGATCCAGTAGAGGTGCCCAGCGAGGAGGAGTCGGATGGTCCAGGTTCTACCAGATACGAGACACCAATGAGGCGCACAGATGTGGGTGCCGGATATGATCTCCGGGTGGGGCCGCCGCCAACGAAGGCGAAGAAGCCGTGCTTGACGATGCCTGAGAAACCACCCTCTGCTGCTACGGTTGCTGCCGAACAAGTCTGGAGAGACAGATCCGAAGCCGTGACTCCTACACCTGCTGGTAGATATTATGACACAGCCCCCCGTCCGCCGGCTTCAAATGGTCCATGGAGGACCCTCTGCATGCAGGATATCAGGCCCGATGGATACGTGAGCGACAAGGTGCCGAAAATGGTATATGCGGAGGTTTGTGCACTGTACCGTGCCGAGGTTGCTGCCGCCGCTTCCGCCACTGCTGCCGCCGTTCCCGCAAGGAGAACCCCCACCATCTCCGATCCGATGCCCCAAGGGGATGTTCGTGACAGGTCGACCGCGTCGACGCCTACGGGCAGTGAGGCTGCTATTTCTAACACCATCGCCATTGGTGCTCGTTCTGGTGTTCCCGCTTCTTCTAGCGCCGACGCCTCTTCCCCCGCAAGAAGGGCTCCTATGTTCATCGACCTGACGCTGGACGATAGCGAGGAGGAGGAGGAGGAGGTTGCAGCTCCGGCTAGCAACCCTCCCTGGGCCACTATGGACATCATTGAGATTTTCAACGCTGCCATGAGGGAGGCTGCTGCCAGCTCTGCTCCTCCCGCTGCTCCTCCCGCTGCCGCCGGATACCACGTTGACCGTGACGGGTACGATTTTTGTCCCGAATGTGAAGAAGCGTGCTCAGCCAGGATGAAATCTATATATAAGGCCAATTGCAGGTGTTAGCGGCCTGTGATGGGGGGGGGTGGGAAGAGTTGGAAGCTGGAGGTGCCCGTTCCCCGCATCCGGCTACTCCCATCCCCATTCCCTTTCGATGATACATTTTCTGTTGTTTCCTGCGTTTTCCTGCCCTTAATACTCCTTGCCTTAATACTCCTTCCCTTAATACTCCTTCCCACCTACCATTTTCGTTTTCTTTTTTGTTTCTGTTCTTTCCTTTTTTATTTTATTTTAATGTTTGTTTGCTTCATGAGCGGTACCTGTTCTACTAGTACATAGCTTCAATGGAACACATTCATTCATTCATCTGTCAGTGTGAAGTTCGGTCAGTCGGTGCTTTCACAAAAAACAAACTTCTATTCGGTACCTACCGGTAGGTATCCGAGTCTATGGGGTGAGAATATATGATTCCAGAGTCACTCCATTAAGAGAAGTTCGACGGGATAACGGGACAAAAATGATTGGACGGGCCCCGTTCTCCACCAAAACGGCCATTTCCACACAATCAAAGCCTACCCAGGGGGCCGGCTTTACTTGGCGGGAAACCTTGGTATCTTTCACAGACTCCAGACTCCAGAGGTCTTGGAATGATCACTGCTAATAGGTTTCATCGATACAAAAAGGCCACTACGTTTATCGCGGATTCATGGCGTACAAGGTCATGCTATGCAGCAGTTGAAATGTGACTTTGGATTTCCCATCCAGAAAGCTGGGGTACTAGTAGTACCTGGTAACCACCAACTTTTCTCCCGCACCACATTGCTAAACCACAACTATAAACCCATCCACACAATCGCCGAGGTCTTATTGTAGTCCATGAGGGTTTTTAACAAAAAAATGTGGTCGGGATGTTACAGTTATCTACGGCTGAAAATGGCTATTTCTGAGTGAAACCCGGGTTTTATCCAGTTCTTTCCGTCAGGGCGGTGAATTCTACTCAATTTTCGTCCACATATTTACACACCGGTACTCTGTTTATTCCCATCCCAAGCCCCCGGTGCTCGATTCTCGATGTTCGATGCTCGGAACTCGCTAAACATTTAACCTGGCACCACCACCACACTTCCGAAAGACGTGCAGCGGATGGATGCGTTGGTCACGCCGCCACACTCTTGGTGGCTGCCGGTTAGCGCTTCGGCTCGGCCCTGGACATCGGTTGGATGAATCCCTGCGGCGGCGACTACTGGTATCTAGTACCACTGGCCTACGGTACAGGCAACGTGGTTCCTATGTAACCGCACGATTTCTATGTAATGCTCCTGACATGACTGTGTTCGAGTACACTTGTTCCACTATTAAGGGCTTCCGGTATCCTGAACAATGAGCACCCCGCTTCTTGCCTGCTTTTGTCCATCCGTAACTATCTGGGAACGAAGATCTAGGTACTAGGTATACCTACATTTCGAGCCAGATGCGCACGCACACGTAGGCAGGAACTTGGGTATTCCTCGCCTGATTGCTGTGCATAAAGTTGATGGTAGTTGGCGCCCAGCTTGAGGATTTCCAACAGGCCCGTACCGGTGAACGGTCGAATGGGAGTACTAGTAGACTAGAGAGCTAGGTACACCGCCGCGTCAGATGTCTCGTGGGATATGGAGGCCATCGTTGCTTCCTTCCTTCCTTTTGCGAGTTCCCCACCATCTACCGAGCACCAGCTCTACTTGGTGGGAGAAGAAACAGTTGGCTATCTAGAGCACTTATCTACATACAACCCACGCTTGGGCACAATCCAGCCGTGGCCCGTAATTGAGTGATGTCCCATGATACTCTCGAGTCTCTCGGTGGGCATAACCAACATCTCTGGCGTCCTCGGGTTTCCCCAACTGTACTAGGCGAGAGCCGACTTTAACTATTATTGGCCGGCCGTGCATCGGGCGGGTGTTATGCATACCTACCGCATGGGCGAGCTAGGAAGTGCATATACCTACTAAGATGTGCATATACCCACCACATATCCAAGTCTCCAACACACCTGCGTGAGCGGGGAACTCTGCCATGGATACCGACTGACTGCGGGGTCGGGGACTATCTTTCTGTCACAGCTGGACGGCGGTTGGTTGGCTGGTTGGCTGAATAGCGGCCGCGATGCACTGTATCTCTCTAGCCAGGAATGTATGTAGGGTACGGTATTCTTGGAGTACCGCGCATGCAGAAGCATCTGTAGGACCAGCCCCATGGTTTGATTTTGAATGGATTGCTGTTCACCGCCACCGTCCCATCCCATCCCATAAAGCGAGTGGATACCCCTCCTTTCTTTGCGAGAGAAATTTCGCTACATACAGACAAATCCAACATCATGTCCGCTCCTGCTGCTGCGTCTCCTGCTGCTGCTTCCGCTGAACCGGCGGCTGCCTCTACTAATGCTGCCACGGCGCCCATCGACCTCGGCGTTATCGAGGCTGATAGCGGTGATGTTCGTCTCCATCCGATCTTCGCCTCCGACTCCCCCCTTCCCTTCCCCCACGATGGCTAATGTTTTGATTCCAGGACGACTCCGCTCTTGGCTCTGGAGTGTATGCACCCCCCGCCAGCTGTGAATGGGATTTGCGCTCACCCGTGCACAGTGACACCGATACGACAAGTCTGAGCTCTACACTACAGGACTACGTCTTCGAGAATGGTACATATCCATCCCGTGTGTAGGAACAGGGGAAACTATGAGTTGGTCTAACGCGGCGTTGATCGATAGGCCGCCGGTATCATCGGTATTTGGAAGGGAAATATCCTCTCCCGAACGACGAGACTGAGCAGGATCGGTACGTACATGCAAAGCTCCACGACTCCGAGACAGACAAGTACACCCCGTGGCTAATACGAGTATCCTTGTCTGCAGCATCGACTTGCACCACCACAGTACGGCGTTCCTTTCTTTCCTCGTGTGGGAACAACTGCTAATAGGATGTCCCAGTCTGCCTCCTCTCCGCCGGCGGGAACATCACCTTCGCCCCCGTCCAGAACCCCCAGCGTATCCTCGATGTCGGCACCGGCACTGGTATCTGGGCTCTCGACGCCGCCGAGTAAGCCTCTAGATCTCCCCCTTCCATTCAGAACCCAACCCCTAACACGCCCAGAACCTGGCCCTCCGCAGAAGTAATCGGCACGGACCTCTCCCCCATCCAGCCAACCTGGACCTTCGCCAACTGCCGCTTCGAAATTGTGAGTCCGCCTCCCCCTCTTCGCCCCCATCCACTAACCGCATCCCTAGGACGACGCCGAAAACACGTGGACCTGGCCCGCGGACCACTTCGACCTGATCCACAGCCGGTTCATGGCGCAGACGATCCGGGACTGGGACAAGTACCTCGGTCAAATCTACACGCACACGAAGCCGGGCGGGTACACCGAGATCGTCGAGATCTACTGCGACATATTCTGCGACGACGGGTCTCTGCCGGCGGACGGCGCGCTGCGAAAGTACTACAACAAGTGGAACGAGCTGGCCGAGATCGCGTTCGGCCGGAAGCAGCCGCTCATGGACGAGTATATACGTGATGTTGAGAAGGCGGGGTTCGTCGATGTGAAGTGCTATAAGAGGAGACAGTTCCTGAGCCCCTGGCCGAAGGATCCTGTCCTTAAGCAGATCGGCAGGTATGGATTGCTTAATATTCAGACGGGGTTTCACGCTTATGGGTATGCGATCACACGACTCCCCCCTCCCCTTGGATCTACTGACATGCATAGAATGGCACTCTTCACCCGCCTGGGCGGCATGACCGTCGAGGAGGCTACGGCTATGTGCGAGGCCGCTGCAGTCGCCGGCGCGGATGTGCGCCAGCACTGCTACAACAAGATGTACATGCACTTCCTCCCATCCTCCCAATCTCCCAATTGATCGTTGCGTGGTGCATGGTGCTAATACTCAGTGAATAGCTGGTTCATCGTGGGAAGAAAGCCCGGAGGCAGTGACGATAATTGATCAGTGACGATAACTGATCACGGGTGATCACGCTGAGGGTTTAGGACGGACTGAAAACGAATTTATTTTTGTTGGTTCATTCTGCATACTTCCTAGTAGGCAGGGCAGACTTGAGTATGGGATGGATACACACATAGGTACAGACAGACGTATCTCTTTGTCCCAGGAATTGAATGACTTTTATGTATCATACGGCCGAGATTTTCCGTGCTGCGTGTGGCATATGTAGGTACAACTCCTGCACTTCCGACGTCCGTGAGTCGACTGTTGATCGCCTGCTGGTACTGGTGCTGGGACTTGCACTTCTGGTAGTTTTAGTAGTTCTTGAGACCGTACTCGAGACTGCCCGCCTCCTCCGCCATCACACGGCTCCAGACTCAAGTAGTTCCACCCGCCAGTGCTACAGTTAAACACAGCGCATCACTCGTCCTCATGGATCACGGTCGAAATTTTTCTTTTTTCTTTATTTACCGAAGTACTTTTTACCACGGTTCAACCGCTCCAATGATAGTTACAAATGGTGTAGGTTCCACCAAGATCCTCTGCCGAACAGAACGGGTAGGAAAGGCGAGTTACTCCAAGCAACCCCCCAACAGCACCCCTACCTACCTATTCACACTACCGCTCCTCCAGCACCACCCCGACCTCATCAGTCATACACAGCGCCATGAGGCCAGTACTCCTATCGACACAGCCCCTGACCCTTTCCATCGCCTGCTGCTGCGTCTCCGCCCCCTTCCTCGCGCATCTGACCCTCCTGCCGCGCATCACGACCGCGACGACAGCAACAAACTCGACGCTCGCAAACTTCCGTCCGAGACAGACCCTCTGGCCGCCACTAAACGGAACGTAGCTGCCCATTCTGGGCCTGTATAACCCCGGCGCCTCGGCCCAATCGCCCTCCGGCTGCGGGAACTGCGCGAGATGGCTGGTCTTGTTGGTGGCGTCCCAGAGCGCCGGCTGGAAGCGGGAGGCATGTGGCCCCCAGTACGAGGGGTGCTGGTGCAGACCCGCCGCGTTCACCGTTACCATCGTGTGCGCGGGCAGATGGTGCGTTTGGCCACGGAAGGTGAGCGGTTGCGGCGTGAGCGTGGATTTGGCGTGGCCGGGGACCGGCGGGAAGAGGCGGAGGGTTTCGAGCTGGGGGTGTTAGTTAGCGGGGGTGTTAGTTAGCGGGGGTGGGGGAGCGGGGGGAAGTGCATACCATGAGGCAGCGGACGACTGCCAGGCGGTCGTAGACTTTGTAGTCCCACTGGCTGGGGTCTTCCGGCAGCCCGGCGAGCTGCTCATCGAGGCGGTTGAGGAACCACTCCTGCTCCTCTGGGTGGAGTGCGAGCATGACCAGTGCGTACTGCATGGTGGTAGCCGTCGTCTCGTGCCCGGCAATGCTGAAGATGAACGTGTTGCCGATGATCTCGCGGTCAGTGAGCGTGTCGGTGCCGCCATCGTCTTCTGTGTGGGTGTGGACGAGCGACGAGAGCAGGTTCCCCCCACCTACACCTGCGGTGGACGCGCCCTTCTCCTTCACCTTCTCCCGCTCCCGCCGGATCAGCGCGTTGACGTAGCCCTCAACGTCGGCGATCGCCTTGCGCGCTCCCCGCGACGCCCACGCGGGAAGCGACAGCGCCGCGATGATCGTGGGCAGGTGCAGGCTGATGTGCTCGAGTGCGGCGCGCCAGCAGCGAGAGTAGCCCGGCGGCGGTGTGCCATCGCTGAAGAACGCGTTCTCTCCGCCGGTGTTGGCGGCGTCGACCCCGGTGGAGAAGGATAGGCTCACTCCAAAGGCGGCGCTGGAGATCACGTAGAGGGTTATCCGCCGGAAATCCCGGAGGGTGCTGCTGACGAGAAGTGAGTTCGGGGATGAGGGCGCGGCGTAGTCGGCTAGCGGCGGCTGGGTGTGCCAGGACTGGAGCATCCCCGTCGCTTGCGCGATGGCTTGTGTCCACACCAGGCCGTTGTTGCGCTCGTTAAATGGCGGGCCGACGTGTTTTCTGTGGTGGACCCATGTGGTGTCGTCACACTGTGTACGAAGTCAGATCTCCCGGGTAGCTACAGGACAGCGGGAGTGGGATGCTTACCGCGACAACATTATCCCCAAACAGCTTGAGATGACCTACGCCGACACTGTATTAGCTCCAATTCATCCTTCTCCTCCAATCCCTCCATCAGTACACACTGTAATTCCAACTCGGCTTCCAAAACCTCCCTCGGCCATTCAGCACCTCCTGGGCGGCATCGGCATCGGCGACGTAGACATGCATAGCGCCACTCGTGATCATAACCAGGACATCTCCAACCTCTTCATGGACGGTGTACTTCGAGTGCCAGCGTCTCAGATACGTGGTGAAGTTGACGTAGGCGGCGAGGCGGTGGGGCAGCAAATGGAACAGCGGCCCCATGTTCATTGCGATGAAGTACCATGTCTTGTTGTCCGGAATGATGGATGAGAAGTACGGGAGGCCGATGCGGCGGGCGATGGTCAGGTTCTGGCCGTAGAGGTATAGGTGGTAGAGGAGCCCGCTGAGGAGGGCGAGCAGGACGGTCGGCAGGATGAGTGACATCTTGGGATGAGCGCTGGGAGCTCACGGTGGTTGCGAGCTAGGACGCAGGGAATAAGTACCTCCTCCCTCTACTTGGTACTAGTTACTTTCATACGACTACATACTATTACTGTGCAGTCGCTCATCGCCGCTAGCTGGTAATGTCTTTATAGTCGAAGCTCGTATTGACGACACGGGGACCTTGCTAGTTGCAGCAGTCAGCTCCAGAGTCCAAAACAGCGTAGGCAGCGCAGGTCCTGAGGTACATAGTGATAGGTACCCATTGCTATTATAGGTGTCGGCCTGCTGGTATTCCGACTCATGAGTCATGCGCTAGGGAGCTATCGGGAGCTGGTTGATACCCAAGAGATATGTACCCAGGAGCTCGAGAAACGCATGTTCAACTTTAAAGGCTAGCTCACGCTAGCTTACCCGGCGCGAGGATGCTTAACGCGCGACGCGATACTGCTAGTAAAAGTACTTTAACACCTCCGAGCTTCAGGCAACGTGACAAGATCACGATCGCCACTGACAATGCACCCACTACTTCTCCGGCTGTCATTCCTTTCAGCCGCAGTCGCGATTACGAGCTACAGCATCAACCGGATCGTTCCCGAGCCATATCTAGTACTCGTGCCTCCATCCAGTGCGTCCAGCGGTGGTGCTAACATCGCCAGGATGAAGCCTTCCACATCCCGCAAGCACTCGCCTACTGCCGCGACGCATTCGACGTGTGGGACCCCAAACTGACCACACCCGCCGGGTTGTACCTGCTCAGCTACCCGCTGTCCTTCTTCGACGCGTGCACGCCATCGTTCCTGCGTGCAGTAAATGCCTTCGGCGTTGCGGTGCCACTGCCAGTGCTCATCTACCGGATCCAGCAAGCGATCCACGGGCGCCGCGGTGCATCCACTAACGCGGATAATGCGCAGACGGCATTGAACGTGGCGCTGTTCCCGCTGCTGTACTTCTTCGGCGGGCTGTATTATACCGATGTCTGGAGCACCATCTTCGTGCTGGCCGCGTATCTGGCAACGCTCAAGAGGTCCCCGTGGGCCGCCGCCGTGTTTGCCTGGCTCAGTCTGTGGTTCCGCCAGACGAATGTGGTGTGGACGGTGTTTATTGCGGCGGGTTGGCTGGTCACGAGGTTGCAGGAGGTGGATGCGGGAGTGTATAATCCGCCGATTTCGGCTGAGCTCGTGCTCGGAGGTAATGCTGCGCACCGCTCCCTTGAAGTGGCTACGTAGGTAGATATACTAACGAGATAGACTTCATCTCCACGCCGCCCTCGCTCCTCCTCGCCGCGCTCCGCAACCCCGTCGTGACCCTCAACGCCCTCGCACCGTTCTTAATCCCACTCACCTCCTTCCTCGCCTTCCTAATCACCAACAACTTCACCATCGTCCTTGGCGACGCGAGCGCACACGTTGCGTCACTACACCTCCCGCAACTCCTCTACTTCACGGGCGCGGTGTCCTTCTTCAGCTGGCCGCTCCTCCTGCCCATCCTGCCCAGTCTCCGCCCCACGCCCACCAAAGCGCTAAGCCTCACGCTCCTCGCCGCCTTCCTCGCCGCAGCAATAAAATACAACACGATCTTGCACCCCTACCTGCTCGCTGACAACCGGCACTACACCTTCTACGTATTCCGGCGGGTGCTGCTGCGACTACCATTCTTTTTGCCGGTGCCGGCGTACGTGCTCTCGTTGTGGCTGCAGCTGCGCGCCGCGACCGCCAGCACTACGGCCGCGTGGATGCTGCTGTTCGGCGCGGCAACGGCTGCAACATTAGTCTCCGCCCCGCTCGTCGAGCCCAGGTATTTCATCACCGCGTGGACGCTGTGGAGGTGCCATGTGAGCGTGCGTGGAAGGTGGCTGTGGGTTGAGGCCGCGTGGTATGCGGCTGTCGGGGCGGTGACAATCGGAGTGTTCTTGGCGAGGACGTTTGAGTGGCCCGGGGAGGAGGCGAGGATGCGGTTTATGTGGTAGTGCAGTGGTGGTGGGGGGTGATAGTTAGTGATGGAGCACGAGTGTGTAGAATAGTAGGATACCCTGTGCCGAGGTTGAATAGACGCAAGTTGCAACGCGTTGAACCGCGATCGTATGTAGCCGTACCCGGTCCCGGTCCGAGTGCACGCATACATACCCGTAGCTGCCCAGCTGTCCAGGTCCCAGGTACCACTTACTCCAGAACTCAGTATATCCTCAACCTCCCTCCACCACCCCCAATTCACAGCCAAAAGACCCAAAAGAAACCCAAAAATGTCCAGAACCTCCCTCACCAGCGCAAGCGACCGCCCCCTGCGCGGCGCAGACCTGAGCATAACCGACCCGAAAGCGCGAATCGAGGACTTCCTCTCGTTCGCGCGCGAGCCGGAGTATCACGTACGCCCCCTTCTGCCCTCCCTTTTGCCTCAGTCCCCCCGCTCCAGCAGCAGTAGTAGCAGCAGCAGCCCCTCCAGCTGCCCCGTCCCCCTCAGTAGCAGCTAACAGAGAAGAAATAGGGCTTCGACACTTTACTCCTCCCCCACCTGACGCTCCTCTCCAGCACCCTCCCCACCCCTTCGTCCCCCTCCCCCCCTAGCCCCAGCACCCCCAGCACCCCCAGCACCCCCTCTTTAACCATCTTCTCCTTGGTTATCCCCCCCACGTTAACCAACCGTATGTCCAACCTGCACGGCGGCGCGGCCTCCTTGATCTTCGACGTATGCACAACCTGCGCGCTCGTTCCCTACGCGCGGCGCGGGTTCTGGCAGTTCGCCGGCGTGACGCGGAGTCTGAACGTTTCCTACCTGCGGCCGGCGAAATTGGGGCAAAAGGTGGAGGTCAGGTGCGAGGTTGTTAGTATTGGAAAACGGTTGGCGACTGTGAGGGGGGAGATATGGGGGGAGGTCGAGGGGGACAAGGGGAAAGAGGTGGAGGGGGGACAAAAGAGGCTCATGGTGTGTGAGCATCTCAAAGTCGGGATTGATCCGCCTGTTAGGGGGGAGGGGGCGAAGTTGTAGTGGTGGGGAGGGTGGTGGAGGTGGTACATATGGGAAGGAGATGATGAACGAGAAGAGGGTGGCATTAATTGGTTTTTTTTTGTTTGGAATTATAAACATGCAAACACCCCAGCAGGCAACACCTCCAGCAGGCAGGGCAAACACTCCCATCCGGCAGCCAGTACAATACAAAGCTTCTTACATACTTCAACGAAATGGTATATAGCCCAGTCCCTTAGTCCTCCCCGTCCATACAATAAAAAAGGCAAAAGGTGCAAAAATAAAGTAAACCCCCAAAGAAAAAGACAAGAAAAAAAACAAAAGATGACGATGTGATTCCACTATACACTTTCCCCCCTCCCTCCTCCCTCCCTCCTGCTCCTGCTCCTGCTCCTGCTCCTGCTCCTGCTCCTGCTCCTGCTCCTGCTCCTGCTCCTGCTCCTCCCCCACCTCCTCCCCCACCTCCTCCCCCCCCTCCTCCTCTAAAACACCCCCCACCCCCACCCCCCACCCCCCACCGCCCAGAAACGATCACAATCCGCCCCTAAACCAGCCCATACAAAGGAACCCAAAAGAAAAAGTTGAAAGCGCGAACCAACATCAATTATGTATCCAAGTCGCTAGTACGCCTGCGGCGGCGGCCTAGCGCTGTGGGAGAAGTCATCAAAGGCGCCACTCTGGGCCCTCCTATTATCGAACGCGCCGGTGTGTCTCTCACTCGTCGTCCCACTAAGCGGAACATGGCTCATCGCCATGGGCGAGGCAGCATCGACGAGTCCGCGCTTGGACGCAGCCGAGTAGTTGCGCTGATGATGCATGGGGTCGAGCGAGTGCAGCGGGATGGTCCCGGTGCTCTGCGCGGCGTCATCGTTGTTGAAGTAGAAGTTGTCCTGCGGGGTGGGCTGGTAGTGACCCTTCCCGTCGCGGCCGTAGGCGCCCGAGAGCAGCGAGTTGCGCGCGTCGAGTGGAGTTAGGTCGGCCTCCCGTAGCTTTTCGGCTTCCTTGCGCTTTTGTGTGTGCGGGTTTTGTTTGCACATGGCGTAGATCGCGTTCACGGCGATGCAGATCGCGAGGACGGCGGTGAGGGTGGATTGGATCGCGATGAGCGCGACACCTAGGGTTGGTCAGCAAAGAATGTATTTGGTGGATCACTCGTCAGACTCACCAGTAATCGTCTTGGTGTCGGCGGCGATGCCGAGCTGGTCGACAAACACGATAAGACACACGACAGACAGCACGCGGACGCAGGAGATGATGATATTGAGGACGTTTCCAGCCTTAGTGTTGTAGGGCCTATTCCAGAGCAGCAGCACGAGCAGCAGCATCTCGCACGCCAGCTGTCCAACCGTCTGGATGAGTCCGTGTCCGTCACCGAGCGCGATGAACGCTCCCTTGGCGAAGGCGTAGATGATCAACGGGAAGAAGATCCACCAGAAGTTGGACTTGAATTGGTCGTAGAACAGTCCGTACTTGCGCATGTACGGCTTGTGGATGAACAGCTGCTCCTGCCCTTCTGCCGATTTCTTGGTGTGTCGAGCTACGACGAAGATGCGCCACGCGAAGAAGCCGAGAATCGCAGTGAACGTGGTGAGCGTGACTCCGGCGAGGATGTGGGCTCCCCAGGAATCACCGTTCCGGAACTGGTAGAGGCAGTAGAGAGTCCAAGTGCCGTACAAGATCAAGATCTACATTGTTCGATATCAGCACACCATCCCCCGCACCCCGTAGATTCCAATGCAACTCACAATCCGAACAATCGTCGTCATCAAGAACATCCAGTATCTCTTTCGGAACCCGGTCAACGCCTTCGGAAACGACGCAAACAGCGCCCAGACCTCGAGGATAACCTTGAACAGCAGAATGCACACGCAGACGGCAGCAATGACGATGCAGAAGATGAGCAGCACCGTCATGAACGTATTCGCCGACGGGATCCTGAGCGTCTCGACCTTTGCCTGAATACCGTGGACATACGTCATGACCTTGTCGTTCTGCGCCTCAGTCTCGTTGGCAGCGGTTCCGTCCATATTGGTACCGTTGACCGAGACGTTGACGTCCTCACGCGCCCAGAGCCCCCCGAACGCATACTCGAGATCGCGCTTCGACACCTTATTCGACGTGCCGTTGGCGAAACTCGGATCGTACACCAGCGTCTTGTTCTTGAGCAGGTACTCGATCGACATTTCCGTGGTGTTTCCTCCCGTGCCTGCGCGGAAATTATCGATCGACACCTGCATGTTGTCCCACGAGAGGAGACCAGTGCTCCACTGGAAGTTGTCGGTGAACGACCGGTAGACGCTGGGATAGCTCACGCTGAGCATGCCATCCATGGCGATGCTCTGGAACCAAAACAGGACGTCACCAAAGTTCGGTGAAGAGCCGGCAGCCGTTCCCCCAGCACCCGCGCCGAGCGCCGAGATTCCCGACAGCAGTAGCGCAGCCGCCGCGATACCCGCAGAAATGTATTTTCCTTCCGGCACGTTCATGGTCTTTCCGTTGGCGACCACCGACGTCAGACAAGCGAGCTCGGCATTATCCGACTTGGACCTCAATTGCAGCGTCGCGACACCGTCCAAGTCCGGAATCTTGAAGGCGATGTCGGGCACATTTGCAGCGATCTCTGGAGTAATATCGATCGCATCCTTGGCCGCGAAAGTTCCCTTCGGTACTACGCACAGTCAGCACACAAACGAAACAAACAAACAAATAACGAAAAAATCAAAAAAATCTCGTCAGCACAGAGTTCCGCGTACCTGGACACAGCTGCGCGATCCCCTTCTCACAGGGGTCGAATTCGGTCGAGTACACATCCCTTCCATACGCGGTGACCTTCAAGATGGCCTGCACCTTCTGTTCCTGCTCCGATATGCCGGCCAGGTCGAAGGTCACCTTTCCGGCGGCCCTATCGTACTTGATGTTCATTCTCTGCACCACGATATCCGAGCCGTCGAGACATGTCGAAAAGCCACTAGTTTCCAGCACATCAGCTGCCTGGGCCGGCAGTGCAGTGAGAGCCGCTAGCAGTATGAAGCTCGTTAATATCGACGGCATCGATGTGATTGAAGATGTGGCGCCACCGGGTAATAGTCGTCGTAATAACATATTGAAGTCGTTGTGTCTCGAAGCCTGCTGTGGTTGATCGCAGGATGTGGGTATGTACTTTGGTCGGGTGGGTTTGTAGTGTATGTACGGTGACGAAAAGTAGGGCGACGCCGATGGACCGAGGGCTAGAGTTGTGAGCAGCGACCGCCGATGCGGAGGTCCCCTTTCTCTTTCTCTTTTTCTTTGAGCGCGAGGTACCCCCCTCCTATGCGATGGGCGATGGGAGACGTGCGATGGTGTCAGATGTCACCGATGGTGCGGGTAGTTGGAACGTCAACGGATAGGGTGGTGTCTGGCACGGCGATGTTGTTTACGATGTCTACGAGAGGTTTCAAGTTTGACCCCTTGGACGAGGTTAATTGAAGCTGTGGGACAGTGAGTGGATCGGCCAGGACATACCTACGGCCACAAATAATAAGGGAGTCGTGTGTAATAGGTACTCAGATCTGCAGCGAAGCAAAGCAAATACGAGAACGATAACAAGCAGAAGTCAATCAAAAGAGTGTACGAGATGGGATCCGGATTCGATGACGGTATCAGCAGCGACAGAGACAGTGGCGGTAGGAGGAGGTGGAGGAGGAGAGGAGGCGACGGTGAGAGTGGGTCCGGGGGGGCGAGTTAGTGATGGGTGTGGGTGGGGTGGCGGAGCGAGCGAGCGAGCGAGCGAGCGTGTTGTGTTTACTGGACAGTTAGCAGCAGCTACAGCAGTAACGAAGGACGAGCTGCGGCGGCGGTGTACGAAGTAAAGGAGAGTTGGTGGTGGTGGTGGTGGTGGTGGTGGTGGTGGTGGTGGTGGTGACGGCGGAAGCAGAAGGAGGAAGGAACGAGCAGAAGATACGAAACGAACCACCTCCGCTGCTGGTGGTGGGCGTGTGCGGTCACTGTACCTGCTTAGACTGCTTAGGTGCTCCTCTATGAGTGCCTACCACTTCGTTTTGGCCCTCAGCGTTGTCGCCGTAAGGGGCAAGCAGCGGAAAAAACAGAAGCGTGCATCCAGTCGGTGCAGGGAAGGGGCCAAGAAGGCTCGCGCGCGATCAGAAGCGACCAGGCTCCGAAGCAAGAAAGAGCAGTTGATACTCGAGCCATTGCTTCTTGCGGATTGGCGCGGGTCGCGGGGGATGCCTGCTGACGCCGAAGCTTGCGCTGGAACACAGGGGGGGCGCAGACTGCCAGGAAGGAAATAATAATACGGTGCTGTCGGGCAGGGCCAGCATCGAATCCGCAAGGAAATGCGTAGGGGGGGCACTTGGACACCTTGGGCCAAGCTCGTGAGAGTGGATCAGCCCCGAGCGAGCACATCCGCCAGTGGCCACTTCCCCGGAGGCAAGGCCAAGAGGAGGGAAGGAGAGAGAGGGAGGAGCTTCTCGATAGCAGAATGCTCTATATCGAAGACTGTTGGGCAGCAGCGGGCTCTCTTCTTATCGTTGCGCAGGGCCAACCAACCAAGTATCTCCCGGTCAGTCGGCGGGAATCGAAATAGAGCGCGGCCCGGCACTCGTCGCTCATGCAGGCCTGGGAGCGAACTGAACATACCAGAGAACTTATGCATAATGAAACCCGGGCACGTCCAGCATAGCCTTCTTCGTCTCTTGTTCTTCTTCTTCTCGAACATACCGGGAGAGCAGAGTAGAGTACCGTCCCTTTTCTCGAATCATGAAAACAGCCACTCTGGTCACCGGTGTCCGGAGTGTCCCTTCCTCACCACTCCAGCTCGAGGCCAACTTCCAATGTAGCAAGTGCCCGAGCAGATCCCATCATCCCACTGTCCAGGGTCCCACATGTACGGACATTCTCATCCCCGACCCGACCGTCCGTCCACCACCCAGCATCCATCCCATCCCTCCATCGCCCACTATTTCAGCATCCGCCCCCTCCCGGCCTCCAGCCCTAACGAGCAATAGATCACCAGGCACGTAGAGTACTACCATCTTCAAAGTTCAGCTCGGTAGAGGGATTTTGCAACGGGTTTGGGATCGAGTTTGGGATGAGAAGTGGGGTGTAACTGGGACAACCGGTTGACTTACATATCCACAACACATCCCAAACTCCACAGGTTGGCGTTGCAGCCCCAACCTGTAAACACCGCTAAAAAGTTATAGTTGGCTGTGTTGGGAATAGTAAACATGCTCTTCTAGGGAAGATAAGGAATAACGAAGGAATAACGTTGACATGGTGAGCTTGGCTTGCGCAAGTCCCATCGGTAGCGCCAAACTATCCTCATCCCCAACCCGGGATCTGCAAAACCTCTTTTTCTGAAGTTTGGGTTCGACATGGGAAATTGCACTAACATCATAGCCAACTTACATCCCCAACTCGACTGCAAAATCCCTCTGGTATTCGCCAGCGGAAAGTTGCCGGACGCGTTGACGCGCGGCATGATTGCCGGCAGACATGGTTGGATGCAGAATTCTGGAACAAGGCAACGGGTAGGTTGTCTCGTACCTGCGTTCGTTCCTTCTGGAGAAGCGATTCGGATTCCCGATTCGACCGCCGCTTTCTTGTATTCTCTGTGCGAACGGACAGCTCGTGTGTCTTCCTTCACTCCCTCGTGCATCCTTAAAGTCCAAAGTGCTTGCAAGTTGCACTCCACTCCACTCTGGCATAATTCTGCCCATACCCAGGAACCCTATGTACCCCCCCATGTCACGACCCTGCTGTTCCCGATCCCAACTTCCCAACTTCTGCGAGCCATTTCCTTCCATTCCAGAAATAGCACAAATTGCCATCTCCCCCTCCAACCAGCCGGCGGCGGCGGGTGGCCGTTTGATTCTGAAAGTCCGTGCGACCGTGTGGCCGCTGTCACAGAGCCACTTCCGTCGCTGCCGCTGGCGGTCAGCGATGATCTCTTCTCTTCTCCAGTGAAGGGTGGGCGAACGGTCTGTTTTACTTTCCTTTCGTTCGGTCTTTCGGTCTTTGGTTCTTTCTTTCGCTCGGTCTTTCGGTCTTTGGTTCTTTCTTTCGCTCGGTCTTTCTTTCTTTCCTTCTTTGCGGGTTGGTTGGATGAACTTCGTGGTGGTGGCGGTAGGGCCGCAGGCGGGTTCCAAGGGTGCATCATGCCAGGGGTGTGCTGCTCACTGATGGTGCGGTTGGAAGTTGGAACAGCAACAGCAACGGACGTCGGAACGGATGTCGGACCCTGCCTTGGTGGCGGCGGTCGGCGGGCGTATGTAGACGGTGGGCGCTGGGCGGTGGGCGGTTGCATACCTGCATACCAACCTGCATAACCACCCGTCGAGACTCAACGTTGACGTCGGAGAAAAAGGACCTACATATATTTTGGCTTGCGTGAGAGTCGGTATACTTTAAGAGTCTGGGTATTCCCACCCTCGTTGCGTAGAGAGCTTATTTCGGACGGCAAGGACACCCCGTTCACAGGACCCGGCCCGACCGCGATCAAGCCAGCTCCACATACCGGTGCCAGTCGGTAGATCATCCATGGCATGCACATACCGGTTCTCTCGGCAGAGCAGAGGCGAATACGGGATCATGTGCATCTCCATTCTCAAAGGCAGTTCATACCGGTACTGTTACATACCGTGCTACGAGTCTCTGTTGCGGGTTGCGAGTTACACTTGCGAGTTGCGACATCACCTGCACTGCTGCACTGCGAAAAATACACTTTTTGTGCCACTGTCCACAGGCTGGATTTCACGATAGGCCGTCCACGAGACCTGATGCCGTGCACTGTGATTCGTGATATCACGCCATGTCACTCGCGCCACTTGTCTACACGACTGGAGAGTCCTGTCGAGATCACATTTCAAGGCTCCTTCAAATGAATATTCTACTCTATAGTTTTCCGTCCGATCTACACAAACATCACGAAGATTTCTATGTAAGTCCTGTCTCACCCACTGCGGTACTAGCCCATACCTGTTGCCCAGGCGGCCGCCCAGTCATAGGGCACACCCAAGCCCATCCCAAGCCGCAGCCCAAGCCGCAGCCCAAGCCCGAGGCCATAGCGCCGCGCCGGTCCGGTGAACTCGGAGATGGGCGCGCCGCTCGAATTCCCGGGGCAGGGCGGGGCGGAACTCGGCAAGGAAGTAGGGTAGGGGAGATCCGCTCCGGCTATGCGCTCGAGAGTTGACGCCTTGTCTAGTGCCGCCTATGAAGACCTGCCCGCATGCCCGCAGGCGGGCGCCAACGCCGCAGCAACAGCAACAGCACACATGATCCGCGTAACCGCTCGACTACGCACTCCACCTACATGCGCTGGCCGCTGGACGAGGAGGGTACGCATTTACAACACTCTATGTAGTAGATACGACCGTTGCAACTTGCAACTGCAGTTGGGCGGTTCCAGAATCCAGATTCGCCCATCGCTCGTCACTCAACGCTTGACATGTGCAGGTGAAACCCGCACGGCGATCGGTCGGGAGAGTATTTGCGCTCCGGGTATGCATCCGAGATATGGTGATGACGGGCTGAATTTGCTACCGTACTGTCCTGTCCTGTCCTTTCGGTTCGGAAGCAGTGCGAACCTTGGGGACGGCGGCTTTGATAGTTGCAGTACCGATGTAGGTGATGGGGAGGAGGAGGACCATTTGTTACCATATGCATACCGTATGTACCTCGAAGGACCTGGGGAGACACTCACTTTTTTTCCATCCATCCAGCCTTTGGCCGGAGCGCTAATAAGAGTTAAAGTAATCAAATTGCGGAGATGCGAGATTAGAGTAAATCCCTGGGTTGAAATGGGCTTGATAGGATAATTGTCTGTTCACGATGGGGGGGTTCTGCCCGATAGGTACATACCGGTATGTTCGTTGCGGGAACTTGATTGAGCTACCTATATTCGTCTCCCGTGATGTGTTCTCCCTATCGGTACCAGTGCCACCAGTGACCACCACCAATGCCGTACCGTACATAGGGCTGGACTTTGGAGAGATCTTCCCGGAGATTCACGCCACAGCCGCGGCCGCCGTGGCTTCCACCACCTGGCACCGAGATCATGTTCGAACGTTCCTCTCAACGTGGCGCACTCTTGTCCGCTCCAAGAAGATCTCCAGAGGAAGACTCGACTGCACAACCTGCACATCCGGCCGGCGATAAGCCATTAAGCCCGCTCTGTCTTCTCGGCGTTCGTTCACATTCCTTCCGTCTCCGTCTCGAATGCCCTGTATAGGCATGCGCACTTTGCGGGAGTTGAAGTTTCCGTCCGCCGTTACAGGACGAGGATTCGTGCTTGAGCTTACAAAGCGCGGAACTCACGCGCCACCATGTCTTGCCACCACATAGCACAGCACAGCGGCGCCGCGCAAAATATACCAACACGTAGAATCCTTTCGGCGCCGTGAGTCGACGAGATCTCATCGGATGTCTGATTCTCCAGCGTCGGCTTCGGTGTATTACACATCATCGATCGACTCACGCTGAGTGACCGACTATGGTGGTGGGTGTGGTGTGTGTGTGTGGTATGAGTGGCAGCACCGCAGGTCTTAGCCCTAAAATCCCTGACTGTGGTTCGCGCACACACGGCACACCGACCCGTTCTGAGAAATGCGCTGACAAATCCTACGTTGCTTCGAAATCAAGCTTGCCCCCCCGTTTACTATTATACGACTCTCCGCGACGGACGACGACGGACGACCTAACGACAACGACAACACACACCACCATCTCCCCCACGACACCAACACAACTACAGCAAAAATGGCCCGCCGTCCCGCTCGTTGCTACCGCTACTGCAAGAGTACGTTGATTTCTCCACGGTTTTCGGTTTCGCGATGAATAAAAGAGGAGGAGGGGAGGGGATGGAGCGGGGTTGGGGGCAGTGCGATGAGGCTCTCAGAGAGGAGAGCAGCGCACAGGAGAGGAAGCGATGGGAAATCGAGCGCATGAAGGCTGATGGTGAAATTAGACAAGCCTTACCCCAAGTCTCGTTTCAACCGTGGTGTGCCCGACCCCAAGGTCAAGATCTTCGACCTTGGACGCAAGCGTGCCGGTGTCGACGACTTCCCCCTGTGCATCCACCTAGTGTCGAACGAGTACGAGCAGCTGTCGTCCGAGGCTCTCGAGGCCGCCCGTATCTCTGCCAACAAGTACCTCGTCAAGCTCGCCGGAAAGGATGGTTTCCACTTGAGGATTCGGTATGCTTCATTCAACCTATAACCCTCTCGCGAAGACGAGTGCAAAGAACTGACGGATCGCAGTGCCCACCCCTTCCACGTCATCCGCATCAACAAGATGTTGTCGTGCGCTGGTGCCGATAGATTGCAGACTGGTATGCGTGGTGCCTGGGGTAAGCCTAACGGCTCCGTGGCCCGTGTCAACATCGGCCAGGTCCTCCTGTCCGTTCGCACACGTGACTCGAACCGCGCCACCGCTCTCGAGGCTCTGCGGAGATGCCAGTACAAGTACGCTTCCCGCCCTGCACCACCCCCGATCAACCACTGACACAGAATCAACAGGTTCCCTGGTCGCCAGAAGATCATCATCTCCAAGAACTGGGGTTTCACCCCCCTGCGCCGCGAGGAGTACGTCGAGAAGCGCGCCAACGGCGAGGTCAAGCCCGACGGTGCCTACGTCAAGTTCCTGAGGCCCCACGGAAACCTTGCCGAGAACGTCCGTGCCTACCCCCAGGCTTTCGCCAATGCTGCCGCCGCTGCCACCGCCTCCGCATAAATTGTTGAGATTTAGTGGTGTTGTAGTGGTTGTCGTTGCTGTTGTCGTTGCGTTTTGTCTTCGGAATGGAACTGGATGCAAAATACATAGCAAGTGGTATTTGTGATCCATATTTCGTGCTGTGCTTGCCGTGATTCGCCGTGATTGGAGTACCTGTATACATACTCGTAGAAAGATTACGTATCCCGCGCCATGGTGATCATTAGGCACAAATCCCTTATGAGCTGTATGACGTAGATATTGCGAGCGAGCCACGCCAATGCCAGCCGAATTATTTTATCTCCTCCATCATCACCCACGACCACTCCACTGCAAGCCATGCCCATGCCATGCCGAAGCAATCAAATCAAGCGAAAGCACAAAGCAAAGCAAAGCAAAGATACCAAACAGAACAGAGCAACGACAACCCAACATTCGCGCAAGTCCCATCAATCCCTCCATCCATTCATCCACCGTTCCATTTCAATTCAGATTCATCACCTCTTCTCCGACCAATCGAACTGATCCTTCACCTCGCCCTGCGCGCCTTTATACGAGATCTTGAAGCGGATCCTCAACGGAGCCTATCACAATATATCAGCAACCTTCCAAATTCCAACCCCTTCTTCCAGAGAAAACTTACGCCATTACTCCCGCTCAACCTCATCTGCAGCTGCGCGTCGCCGGCGGGGTTGATAGTGGTCGTACTGATTTCCTTGAGCTCGAGTTTCTGGCCGCGGGGCGCCGCCGCCTGCAGCTGCAGCTCCGACAGCGACTCCGTAAAGCTGGTATTTGCGAGGCGTGCGCGGATGTATACCGCGCCGTCGGCGGGCCGCTGTAGTTGCAAAGAGATCTCGAGGCTGGCTTTGGTGTATACCGTTATTGCCGCTGGTGGCGCTGCGGCGGCGGGGGTGGGTGCAGAGGAGGGGGCGCTGCCCATCACGTCCAGGAGGCCGCCCATGCTGCCCATCCCGCCCATCCCGCCCATGGCCGGTGGAGAGGTAGTAGGGGGTGCAGGGCTAGAGGTCGCCCCCGGGAAGAGCCCGAGGATGTCGGACATGCTGGATTGCTGCTGGCCCTGGGGTGGAGGGGAGACGGGGGCGGAGGAGCCGCCCAGGATGTCGGCGAGGAGGTCGAGGTTTCCGCCGCCGCCGCCGGTGCCACTGCCGGTAGTGTTCATGACTCCGCCGCCAAACCCGGGCCCATCGTCGTTGAGCAGCTCGAGAAGTTCCATTTCTTGGTTCTTTTTCTGCACCGGTTTTGCCTTTACCATCTTCTCGCCCAAGACTCGGTTTTCGTCGCGGATCTCGGGCATGGGCATCGCTTCGAACACGCCGAGGCGCACTTCGTCCGGTTGCTTGAACATGTTAACGTACTCGGTGGTCCGCTGCTGGATCTCGACGTCGAGGGACCGCGCGTGTAATGACAGGATCCGCTTGATGTCGGCCGTGTTGTTGTGCTGGCCTTCCTGGGCGGGGAGTCGTGTCGAGAGTTTCATCAGCGCGTTAGTAGCATACTCATTCATGATCTGGGAGTTGTAAGAGTGCTCGAGCACGCATTCCAGCAACGTGATTATGTCGTGTCCGGATACCCCCGATTCTAATAGCTTGTGCCCGTATTCCCCGAGAACCCAGGAACTGGCGAGCGTCAATCCCTCCGTGAACGCGGGCGAGGAGGATCCCTCGTCGACCACTACGTTGCCGTTTCCGTTTCGCGGAGACTTGCCGTCCTTGGCCTGTGCCATCGCCGCATAGAGCTCGCGCACGCAGTAGTCCTGCTCGCTCGGGGATGTCGCGATCAAACGGATGAAACTGGACATGATCTGCTCCTTGACGTAGTTCCCAGCCAGCTTCAAGACTCGCAAGATGGTATCGATGTGCCATCTCTTATCAGGCGCAAACCTATCGGCCGCTACGGAAACCTTCGACGCCAGGGCCGACTTGAATTCATTGTCGATTTTCCCTCGGCTCAGCAGATTGAGAAGCTTGTCAACCAGACCGACGTCCTTCTCGTTGTTGATCAGGGTGAACGCGAGTTCGATGGCACGTCGCCGGATCGAGATGTCGGGGTCCTCGAGACAGGCGAAGATTGTCCTTTCGTGTCGCCGCACAGCCTTTGGATCCATAGACACCACTTTGTGGAGCGTGTTCAACGCCACATAGCGGATATTATTGTCCTTGTTGGTCAGGAATTTACCCAGGATGTTGATACCGAGAGTGGTGCGACCGCTGTCGGACTCGATGTCGAAAATGGTAAGCACGGCCTCGTAGAGAATGGAGTTTCCGACGTTTTTCGACGAGTCCGTATTCGTAGCAACCTGCAGAACACTTGCTGTAAATTACACACCCCAGTACCGGGCGCGTGGGTGGAGTCGTACCTGCGTCAAAATGTCGTTTATCTGCTCGCTAACTTCGGGATTATTCTTTCCCAGTATTCTAAGCAGATGCAGAATCTTGACCTGTAGGAACGGATCCGTAATTCCCGTCACATCGTGTTCGGGTGCATATCCGGAGCTCGTCAGTTTCTTCAGATGCTGGACCAGTACCGGCACGTACGGCACGTATTGGGGGATCAGATCCGGATCGTGTTGGCAAAGGTCGGTAACCAGTGTCAATCCGCAGAGCAGCACACCGTGGTTCTTGCGGTCCTGTAGCAGCGGCTTGGTCTTGTTGACGAAGTGCTCCTGGAGGTCGGGCACCTTACGGATGATGCGCATCGTGCAGAGAGCAGCCTTCTTCTGGATGTACGGATTTGCGGTGGAGAGAAGTCCCTCAACTTCCTGGAATAGATCGCGGGCCATCTCTTGAGATGCGATGTTGCCGAGCGTGCACAGCGCCAGTCCGACGACGTACTGATTCTGGTGTTCTAGATCACTGATTTCCGTCTCAGCCCCCACCAACCAACCGAGTAGCGGGGAAGTCCAACTCACTTTTTGAGAGAATTGGTGACCAACGTCAGAACCTCCTGGTTCTCGTCCAGCAGTAACATGGTGCCTAGATATCCCAACCGCTTATCCGCGAATCTCGGCGAGGCAAGTAGCTTTAGGCATTCGATCTGTCCGAAGTGCGTCCGTTCGCCGAGCGTAAAAAGGTATAGGAGTTTGGCGACATTGTTCCTCCTGCGTGGGTTCGAACGTTTCACTGCAATTTAGCTTCCTGTTCTGCTGCTGCTTACGGGGGGGGGTCCGTTTTCCCATCGCGGGGCAACGAGCTGGAGCTGACCGACCTTACGTTCTGATCGCCGGACTCCTCCCGGAACGAAGCTCTGATGGCCGCACTCTCCTTCTGTACGACACTCCGCTCATCCTGCAGGGTTTTTGCCTTCCGCACTTCCTTGATGAATGTCTTAACTGTGTTCACATGAGCAGCCGTCCACCAGAGCTCAGAGGTAGGTAGGAGGAGGACTGACGGGAGCTCATTATGGCCGTGGATAGGCAATAGCGACGCCGCGTGCCGCCAGGGGGGTTCGAAGGGAGGTAAGGCCGTTGGATCGGGGGACTTTCGAGATCGAGAGGATATTGCTGTGTTGCGGGAGTCCGGGGATGTGCGTGGTGGAAAGAGGTTGCTCAGCTTACACCTTGTGCGCGCCAGCGTTACACACGTGGCGGAAGCTACCCGCCGTTTTGTTACCCGGAAGGCATGGATTGGAACTGGCCTCGACAAGCGTCCGCTGCATTTGCAGTCGCAGCCGTTCCCCGGTTCCACCACCGGAGAGAGAGGCCTACCGCTGCTTTTAGAGCTTCGAGAGAGGGAGAAAATCGATTCATTGCCTCTGTCGTAGCTTCGAAAGGCATCTCACAGCACGAGAGTAGTTTGTCCGAGTGCTCAACCATGTCGCTCATGTGATTTCGTTTCGAGCATAGCGGATTCGCAACTACCCTAGAGCACCTCACCCCACCAGCTCAACTCTCCCGGCGGAGGAGACAGCAATGGCAGCAACAACGCACACCGGCGTCGGCCCGCTCACGCCCTTCGAAGTCTCGTTCCTTGCCGAAAATGACATGATCACCATTGTCCCACGGCAGCGGCTGGAAAGCCTCGACCTGATCTCCGTAGCTTCCCCGGAGCCTTCCTCTCCTCCTCTCGCTGACATCCCATTCCTAGGGCCACATCCCCGCCTTCCGCCCTCCACAGCGCGCAACGATCCCACTCTGGCTCGCCCTCGTGCTCAAGAAGCAAAAGCGCTGCAACATCGTGCCGCCCACGTGGCTAACCGCGCACAACCTCGACGCGCTGCTGACATGGGAGACGGAGCACCCGCAGGCGTTCAGCTCGTCATTGCCGTACCGATGGCTCGAGACGAGCGAGATCCTATTGTCGGCGGCCGCGGACGACATCCCGGACGGCGAGGGGGATCTCCGCGTGCTGCTGCGTGGCCTCAGAGAGGTCCGCCAGACCAAGGCTCGCATGGGTCTCAAGCAGCTCGAGAGCACCTACCTGCAGATGAACGGCCTGGGGCTGCTGGAGATCACGGAGCTAAGGGGGTTCGCGGGAATGGTCACGGATGGCCTCAGGAGGCTGGGCGCTACGAGGGAGGAGGGGAGGCGCGCCGAGGAGGAGGAGGATGATGGGGACGAGGAGGATGAGAGTCAGACTACGAGCAGGTATGGGGCTAGTACAGTGGGGAGGAGTATGGCGAATACTAGTACCGTGGGCAGGAGTAGCTTGGCCGTCAGAGGGAGTACAAACACTGGGAGGAGCAGTGTGGACACGTTTGACAATGATGAGGATGATTTTTAATGAACTTACTGCACCGGTGCTGACCACACATGATGAGCCGATGCATATATGCAAACCCATATTCGTAGCAGTAGATTTCGGATAGTAATGTGCGTAGAGACTCTGCAAAGTAGAGTCCAGCCAATGATCGAGCCGTAATACCACCCATCACTCGGTTTTCATCTGACCTGGAAAATCCAATTGGCAAGCCGAATGACTGGCAAGAGAGAGAAGTACGCCGCCATAGTTTAGAAAGACTGAATGCGAATTACCAGAACCGTTTTCCGTTTGTTCGTTGCGCAGGTGACGAGAGCTGGGACCAGATGGAGGAGAGAACGCGGGAGCAACCGAATGTACCATCCCACTCTCACCCGCTTGCAGCCCGCTGTTCGTTGGCACCCTTCTATTCCATTCCAAGCAAACACCCCCCTCCCTCCCCATATTCACCCTTACTCTTCCCATTCATTGCCTTATAAATTCTATCCTTCCCCATTCCGCCTAGGTACCTCCCCTCACTCCTTCCCCCCCTCCACACAGACGCAACCAACCAACCACCATGTCAATATCCACCAGCTATGACACAGATGAAGCCATCGCCTCCTTCGACGACGGCGATTTCCACACGTACTCATTGTGCGAGAACATAATTGCCGATGCGGACGTGGAGAGCGCTTGCAACGAGTTCAACGTAGAGTTTTGGACGCCGTACTCCTATCTTGACTATTTTCCTTTTCTCTGGGGTGGGCAATGATGATGGGAGGCAATGATGATGGGAGGTCACGAGTGATGGGCCGTGTTGTGTTGTAAGAGTAAAAATATCTGTCTTAATAAGCTAAACTAAACGGAACTGAACTGAACTGATAACTCCTAACCCAGTGACCACAACACCGTACCATACTCTACTGTCTGTCCTCCTTAGCAGCGACCAGCGCCGGGTCATAATGTCATAATGAAAGCAAGCAAGCAACCCAAACGCCTCGACACCGAACACACGCTCATAAAGGTTCAATCCCGCGCAGTCCCTGTGCGTTAAACTCTAGTGCCTTACCTGCTCCACGGAGTATAAATCATCAGCGGGTGTTGGATCACGAGATGCCAGAACCATACCTACTCCCCCCTACTCCCTCTCCCTCTCCCACTCCTCCTGCAGCAGCGCGCCCGGATGCACCGTATTCACCGGAAAATGCGGGGGAACCGGAGTCACCAGATCACCCACGTCGAGGTTTAGTCTCTGCACTCCCTCGCGTGCCGATTTCTTCCCTCCAGCAGGATACTTCCCCAGTCCAGCAATCTCGCGGACCGCACTGGCGTACGTCAGGCTGCTATCCGTGCTCTCGGCGAAGTCCTCGACAGGATGCAATCCGATCACGCCGCTGTCGCGCTTCCGCCGCTTCTTCTCGGCGAGGATGACTTCGGCCGGCTTGACGATCTCGAGCTCGGCGGGGTCCTGGCCGCGCCGCAGGGTGCGGGCGGAAAAGTTGGCGTCGGTGATCACCGTGCTGGCCGAGGTGGACGTGCGGCGGATCCACTTGAATGCCGCGCCGAGGCGGGAGGAGGGGCGGGAGGGGAGATCGGGTTCTACGAGCGGTTGGGCGTCCGAGGGAGGTTTGCGGTAAACCATGCTTTTGGCGTGGAGAGAGGCGCGGCGGAGTCGCTGGTGTATCGCGGCTTTGGCGTTGGTTTCACAGTGCCGGTCTTGCTCCATGAACGGGGCGATGGCGCGGCAGTCTTCCTCCGTGAACTGTCCGATGAGCGATGGGCCTGATGTTGTTGGCGTCGCCGGTGTTGCTTTGGGGTCCAGCCGTGAGCAGTATTCGCCGACAGGGGCGAGCGGCGGCTGCGATTGCACCATGTCTGCTAGGCTGAAGTAGTTCATCTCTTTTGCGCGTGGCATTACTTTGCCGCCGAGACGCATGGGGTTGTAGACGGGGTACTCGCGAGGTGTCTTGACGCCAGTTGCTTCCGACGGCAGAAATTCGAGCTCCCAGAGGCTGTTGCGCGGTGGAGCGGACTGCGAGCGGGCCGGCGGTGTCGGGAATTCGAACGACGATGTGTTGGAGAGGGACCTGCGAGTGGGGGTAACTGCCGTGACAAAGCGGTTGAGTTCGACGCTCAGCTGACGGACACGAGACTTATGGCGACCACTACTAGCGGTGAGAGCAGAATCGACAGCGGATAAGAATGGGGCAGCAGCAGGGATAGGGTCGGTCGTGTTTGGCGGAGAGTGTCTCGTCCCGGTTCCATCATATATATCGATGTTTGACTTCGAGGAGGTTTCTGTAGCTTCTGGTAGGAGCACCATCGCCGTGCTCGACCGTTTCTTGAGCCTGTGAGGAATCTTCATCGGATGTTTCCCCTTGACCGATCCTGCCCCATCCGAATTATATCCGATACTCCGAACATCAGTTTTCCTTCTGACCTTCTTCTTGATCCACTGCAGTGAGATGACCGATCTCTTCGGTTGCGCCAAATCCTCACTGAACCTGCTCCCATTCGATCGTGTCCGTAGCGGTGGCGACGGCACAAACACCTTCGACGACATCTCCGGCGACGGATGCGAGCTGGGCCCATCATTCTTCGCAACCCCGCAGTGACTCCTCCACGCACCACTGGCTTCCGCCATCCCGGGCTGATCCAGCAATGCCCAAGCAGAGCCCCCTTTCCTACCCCCGCCGAAAGAGATACTAGGCGGATCAACCCTTCCGTCCTGATCGTGGAACTGTAGCGACCCCATCGACCGTAGCGACCCAGCAAACGATCCAATCCGACTCCCGCGCTCATCCCTCACCGGGTCCATTCCCACATCTCCATGCGCATCCTCAACCTTCGAGTCGACGCTGCTCATGTCGTCGGGAGTGCCGGCTTGCGAGGTCGGCGTGCCGAAGATGTAGGTGCGGCAGCGGCGGTGGGCTTCGCCGGGGGAGGTGGAGCGGGAGCTGTCGGGAGAGGCGGGTTGCGACGGGGCTTTATTCGAGAGTGGCGAGGTTGCACCATCGTGGTGGAGCGTGAAACTCGGGATGTTGTAGAGCGCGTAGAAGGGCTTCGGACGGTGGGGCGAGGACGCTCGTGTGGATGGCCAGTAGCAGGTTGTTGATCGCTCGGAGAAGGAGGACATCGACGAGGGAAAGCAACTGGACATTTGGCGATAGTTAACTGTGGAAGTGCTTCTAGAAATAAAGAAAGCAATACAGAATTAGAGGAATAAAGACGGTGATGGCCAGCATCAGTCGAGGGCGGCAGGCGGTAGCGGGTGGTAGCAGTGGTATGTCGTAGTGAAAATAGACTCTGGAGTGGGGCTAAGTGGTGGGATGGTGCCAAAGAAGATTTCGTCATGCAGCCAGCAACCAGCCAGTGGGCGACCGGCTTCCCTCTCTTCGAGAAGCCTGCAGAGACCGAACAACTCACAGTCCCGATGTGCTTTTAGACGAGAACATGAAACACGGAAGATGGAATCCTCCATCTACATATGTGCGGAAAATCATCCGCCCACATACAGAAAATCCTCGATGATTGCACATCCGTGGTTTAGGGTTGCATTCTGAGGATCGTGGCTACGCGAGCAATTTGTCCGCGGCCCTACGTCGTGCCCTCGCCATCTAGCCCTACCCTGACACCTAAGGCCCTGCAACAATCCGTTCTTGGTCGTAAGTAGTATTCGCCTCCCAATCACAGCTAGGATTCAATCCCAGTCAAATACCTTCATCTTCTCATTAACCACCGTAACACCACATCGAACATCAACACCTTAGGCAGCACCGCGTCACCACCCCACAGACAGAAGTACCTCAACCATCACGACAGTCTGAGAGCGTAACAGATACCATATTTCCCTAGTCGTGGGTTTCCGTGCTGACTTCACAAGGAAACTGAAAATCTCTCGTCGTGGTCGTGCGGAAAGGCCTGCGATGTACTTTCGTCGCCTTGATCCAATTCTGCGCCAGTTCTCCCCAATCGCCCCGCGACCCCGCCTCACACCGCACTGCGGTGGAGCCCCAAATGCGGGCGTAGACGGAGAGGACCCAGCTGTTGCACGGGAGGCTAGAACTAGAACTGTCGAGGCCGGCAATGACGCGTCGACGAACGTGTCGCAGTCAAAGCGCAAGCGTAAAGCGAAGCGTCGCCTCACGGTGGGGAAGGATGTGAACAAGAGCAAGCGGCTGAAGATGCAGCAGCAGCATCTCGAGGAGGAGTACATTCAACAGATCCTCGCAGGCAGCGATCATGATGTCTATGAGGACGACGAGGAGATCTTCGACTCGATCCACGTTGCCAACGGCAAACTGATGAAGCTGTCACCTCAGGCACAGGATCCGGCTGCAGATGGACCTATAGAGCTAGCACCTCTGTCAGCCGGCCTTGCTCCTATTGGAGCGGGGACTGTGCCTGTCAATAAGTCCGGCAGTCAGCCGACAACACCCGTTGCTGACGCGAAATCAGCTGCTACCAAGTTAGCGAAGAGCGAGGGGCAGAAAAAGACACAGGGAAATAAGCAACCCAACCAATTACGTCAGTCCCTCTTAACGCAGTCAATCAAAGGAACTCCGTCACGAAATAAAGTAGCTGTAACAGAGGACTCACCGCTGAGTGACCTGTCGGAGGCCAAGACGAGGCAGCGAGAGTGGACTTCGAGCTCGAAAAAGTTATCGAAGAGGGGCCAACCGGGTCCGGGTGCTGCAAAGAAGAGGGACCAACCCCAAACTCTTGTGCAGACCCGATTGGGAGGGACGGGTCTTGGCAATAGCCTCAAAGCCACCCGCTCACCTCTACCCCCACAACAGCAACCCTCCAACGACAACGCGACAAATCAGAAGAACGTCTCGACCTCGACCACAAAATCTACCACCGCTGTCGCACGCAAACCCAATACTCTCGCATCTATTAGTTTAGTGAGGGAAATTCCTGGAACCCCCGAAGACGCAGTCACACCTCCAAACAGCTCAGACGAAGAGAGTTTCGGTGTTGCTTCAACACGGAAGGAGAATTCCTCGAAGGAGAAACCGCAGCTAGGGATTCGGACCCCGCCTACGAGGAGTGTTGCTGTGACACCTAAATCAGCTGGAACCGTTTCCACCGAAGCTGAGATGCCTCGCAAGACTCGGAGCTCTGCGAAGAAGAAGGCTGCCAAGGCTGCTCCTCCGCCGGCAGTGGCAGCGAAACCACCGTCACAACCGAAACTCAATGGCCCGCCGCCGACCCCTGCCACCGATGATTCACCAGTAGCGGTTCTACGGTTCGACATTCGGAAATTCCCCAGTGACCCCAAGACGATCTCGATACACGGTAGCGATATCTACAGCCCGGAGATCAGATTCGTCTCCTACGATTTGCTCCTAACCCTCGTACGGAAGGAATGGCCAGTGGATTGCGGGAAGCAGCTGCTCCTCATGAATTGGACCTTCCGGTTGATGAATCAGGAGGCCTTCAATCACTGCATCGTTCAGCTATGCAAGCACGGGAGGAAGATGCACGAGATCGTGTTGTGCGATTTGGAGGATGGGAAGCTCCCCGAAGGGGTTTTGAAGATACAGGCGGGACTGAAAAAGATCGACAAACTCTTCTGGCAGGGGAAGCCTAACGCAGGGACGGTCCCATGGAGCTTCAAGGATCTCCCGAAGGACAGGCGCCACAGCGAGGTCCGGAAGGCAGTTTCCGGCGAGGCGCCTGCGGAAAAGAGGCGGCAGACCATTGCTGGAGGGCCTACCGGGAGTGTCAACATATGGAGTAGTCCTTTCTCACCTGTCGTTGCCAACGCCACGTCGCATCCGAGACCAACTGAAACCTCCGAGAGCGACCACCCTGCAAAGCGGAGGGTCATTGAGTCGGAGTCAACCCCTATCACACCACCAGGAGCATCGCCTAAGAATCGGTGGTCCAGTGCTGGTGCCGCAGGAAGGGTGGCCGGCCGGTTTACTAATCCGACGGCATCGCCTTTGCCATCTCCCAGTCGTTGGACGAAGGGAGAGGATAATCGGAGGGCACCAGAGGTCGAAGACCGAAAAGATCCTGTCACTCCAGATGTTGAAGTTGGCCCCAAACCGGTCGTCGATGTTGCTTCCCCAAAGGAACCAGAAAACGTCACGGTGGAGAAGGAAGGCGTCCCGCTGAAGAAGGAAGTCATCGCCGTGGAGAAGGAGGCCATCACCGTGGAGAGGGAGGGCAGTCCCGAGGAAATACTCAAGGAGCCAGAAGGCATCGCCGTGGAGAAAGAGAATATCGCTGTGCAGAAAGAAGGGATCACCGTTGAGAAGGAAGGTGGTTCTAAGGAGATACCAAAGGAGACGATTCGGCTTCTGGACACTAAAGCCCCTGACACCCCTTCGGCTGAATCATCATCGGCTCCGGTGTCAAAGCGATGGCAACATCGAGGACCGCCGAGGAAGGTCCCACTGGAGGGTTACGACATCAGTCCAGTGTCCGGTTTCTCCATTGTTCGAGCTCAGCCACAGGGTAAGTGTCTTTCGTGTGTGATATTGATTCCAATCACTAATTCTATCAGCATCGGGCCCAATAGTATTGCAGCCTGAGCTTATGACGGGTGTGATCGCTGGTCAAAATGCATTCAGAGCTATCCGTACTCCTACACAGCCTGCTGAGAAGGACCGCTTAACCCCTCTGAGGTCGATTGGAGCGGCCCCGCCACAAACCCCATCGCCATGTGCTCCCTCGGAACCGATGTGCGGCAAGTTCCAGTCGCCCGCACCCTCACAGGCAGTGGCGGAATCCTCTCTCCCAGTTGTTAGCGCAATACCCACGAGCTCGACGAGCATTTTAGGTGCTCCGCCAACTCCTAAACCATCACCACCCGAGCCGGCTGCGGCGACAAGCACGACGGAAGCCAACGGGATATCCGTCCCTGAACCCATGGATCTAGATGAACAGCCTGGAGCTCTCGAGTCTGTCTCTATCTCTAAAACACCATTCCAGGCTCCTGCAGAGAGGAAGTCAATTCCTGGTCCGGGTGAAGAGATCGACGAAAATTCCCTTTCTAAAGAAGTGCCTGGATTTTCCGAAACTCCGGTTACTAGTGGGTTCGTTGCTGTGAATGCTGGTGCCGCATCCAGGAGTACACAACCTCAGCGTCCCGAGCAGAATGGAACGGTCGAAAATGACAAGGCGCGAGCGGGTGAAGACCCAACGATCGGGAATGACATGGTAGGATTGGCTAACGACCCAACGATCAATGCTCAAGCCGATTTTCTCCTCCAGGTCTTTTTATCTACCGCCAATGAGGCGCCTCCTGCCGAACCCAATGCCCCAGTTTATCCGATGGTGCAGAAGCCTGCGGCGAAGCAGCCAGCAAAAAAACGGGCACGGCAGAGCGCAACTAAATCGAAGAGATCATCCACGAGCAATTCAACCCCGGCGCCTGAATCGGACAGCCCGATGCCGGTATCCCAAATGGCTTCGCCGGCTGTAGGACAGGCTACTACCTCGGAACCGCCTCCGAGGATGATTCCAGATTCAGCGTTGCCGCCATCTTCACAGCGTGTTGCTTCATCGGCTGTATCATCGCCAATGCCGTTGCCAATGCCATTACCATATGCCAACCCAGCTGGAGGAGCATCGCCTATGCCAGCTGCGAAGCCAGCTGAAGGACCATCACCAATGCCGTCCACGAACCCAGCTGAAGTACAGCCGCAACGTGTTGCTTCTTCGGCTGTATCATCGCCAATGCCGTTGCCAATGCCATTACCATATGCCAACCCAGCTGGAGGAGCATCGCCTATGCCAGCTGCGAAGCCAGCTGAAGGACCATCACCAATGCCGTCCACGAACCCAGCTGAAGTACAGCCACAACGTGTTGCTTCTTCGGCTGTACCATCGCCAATGCCGATGCCATTGCCGTATGTGAACCCAACTGAAGGACCATCACCGACGCTACCTACAACCCCAGCTGAAGGACAGCCGCAACGTTTTGCTTCCTCGATTGTGGCATCATCGCCAATGCCATCAGCGAACCCGCCTAAAGCACAGCAGCAACAAACAGCGGTCACGGCACCTGTTCTGAGGCAACGTAAATCAACTACGGCGACTCCACAGCCCCCTGCAACGGACATACTACAACAACCGCTCAAACGGACATTTGACCAGGCGATTTCAACGTCAACATCGCGCGCTACGACGGTATCGGCTTCGCCTGTATCTATCCAACCTGTACTAAAGTCTGGGACCGCACGAAAGACACGAAAGACTGTCCCGCGTGCACCAGTAATCCCTGCGGCGAAAATACCTCGCCCGCAGCCCTACCGGCGTCCGGTTCCCATAGCCAACTTGTCCGACCAAGTCGTTGCTACGACCGCTCCTGTCCCAAACAACCCCGTGTTCGGACAAGATGCTGTTCCTGGTTCGAAGTCCCTGAAGGGGGCAAGCGCCAGCACGCCCGACTCGCGCAAGAAGGGTGACGATCAGCAGCGTCGGCCTGCTGCTCGCCTTGATTCGCTCAACCAGCGTCCAGGTATGCCCTGGCTCAACCAGCCCAACGCAGCGGCCGGTAGTGGGATTGGTGCCAGTAACAACGGGGGCAGGGGATCAGTCTCCAATGGTTCCAATTACGGAATCCGGCCCCTCTTTACCGAAGGGCCCAGCCCAAGGCAGGTTCCCTTGCCTCCGGCGTACGTTACGCAGCCAAGGGCAGAGGAGCCTAGGCCCCAGCACGTCCTCAATCCCCTCGCAGGACCACTCGGTTCTCCGAGAATACCACCGCCGCCCAAGTCGAATGACTTTCGTCACGTTGTGGCTAGGAACGGCTCGTCTACTGTTGGGGCTAAGAACGGCTCGTCTACGGCTAAGGCTAGGAACGGCACGTCGAGTGGTGGGGCTTGGAAGCTGCCCACACGTAAGTCGATTCTCTTTGACCCCACTACTCAAACATCACTAACCAGATCAGTGGAACGTACTGGCTCGCCGACTCTCCCGCTTTCGCTGCCGTCGCTCTCTCTCTTCTTCGGCGCCGGCTCAGGCGCACCTCGTCCATTCGGCGTAGCCGCCGGTGGCCCTTATGGCCCTCCACCTCCTATCCGCAACCTCACAGGCATCGCCCCCATCAAGCCCCGCGACATGGTCTTCACCATCCACCGCTGGGACGCGCCCGAGACACGCCTGTGTCTCGAGGGGATCCAGATCATGAAGGCCAGCGACAACAACCGTCTCTGCTGGGAGAAGCTCCTGACCTACTGCGCTTTAAACCTGCGGTTCGATGATAACCGCGAGGCGCTCATCATCAACTGGTGCACGCGCGTCGAGGACCAGGAAACCCTGGACAAGGGCCATGATCTGGGCAGGTACTATGGCGGCGCCAAGGGGAACGAAGTTGTCGTCGTTTCCGTCGATGATGATACCAGACGCCTGGTGCACAAGGAAGTGGCGGAGAAGCTGAAGAGGGGCAAGAGGCTCATTAGAGAGCAGGAGGAGGGCGAGGCGGTTTGAGCTTTCTCGTATTTACTTACTTTTACTTCCTTTTAGCTGTTTGCATTTTTACGGGCGTTACCAACTGTTTTTTTCTTGTTCTTTTTTTTTCTTTTTTTTTCCAATTCCATTTCTTACTTACATTTCTTACTTTCTTGCTTGCATTTCTTACTCTTTTACTTTCTTACCTTCTTACTTGCAGAACTGCATCTCTTACGGTTGTGTTTTCAGCTTTTTTTTCTTTTTTTTTCTTTTTTTTTTCTTCATTTTTCCCCTTATAGCGAAGCGGCTAAATCTTTTTTTTGTGGTTTCTTGTTATTTTCGTGGTGTCTTGTTCTTTCTGCGGTTTCTTATATATTTTTTCTGTGGTTTCTTGCTCTTTCTGCGGTTTCTTTTCTTTCTGTGGTTTCTTATTCTTTCCATGGTTTTTTTCTTTTTGTTTTCTTGTTTTGTTCTTGATACGATAGGTTTTCTTAGACGCGCTTTACTCTGCGGCGCGACGCGCTGTGACTTGCTGGCTGGATGGCTGGCAGGCTGGATGGATGTGGTTTTCTGATCCGGGAACTTGTTTTTTTAGATGGGGGATGCGAGATTTTAGATGAAATGAGACGGAAGTTGTATTGTAGATATTTGGCTGAGAGACGGTAGGATAGGATACCTGTGAGTTGTAAGATACAGAGTTTGTACATTTGCTTGCTCTTGCACAGTTGCCCACTCTAGACGAGTTTCTCCAGATTAGGCCAGACAAAGCAAACAAAAGAATAGCTACTTGCTGACTTGCTCTCAAGTGATTTTACACAAAAAGAACAATGCATCCGTCGGGAGTCGAACCCGAGCCAATTGCTTGGAAGGCAATTATCCTACCGTTGGACCACGGAAGCTGCTTGAAAATGTTCTGGTGAGATTCTATAATTCAATGTGGAGTGAGGAGATGAGTTTCTAAACCGCTCAGTATGTTCAAAGGAGGATATAGACATACAGATGATAATAGTGATGAACAGTGACCTGGTTGTTTGTGCCAGCCATTGCGAACTGTCTTTTGTCAGAGAGGAGTTTGTTTTTGGTTTAATCATTGATTGCATGCGACCTATCTATCTAGATCATGGCAATATCACCCCGTTTCACCCCCACTTTCCACGCCACTGTCCAACCCGACTTGCATCGAGCGGCTCGATGTGGCTTTACTTGCTCTCCGCCGCGGCCTGTCCTAGAAAAGTAGATACACGGTAAAGACTGAAATGGGCCTGCATGCCCGCCAGCCCCTTCCCACCTCTCCTCTCGCCCCTACGGACTGACTCACCCGCTCTTCCCACCTGCCATTTGTCCCTTCGTTTGAAGGTTTTCGGAATCCTTTAAATGGGGCTTGCGTGCTTTTTGCGGCCTGGAATTCCTGCTCCCGCCGATGAAGACGGTCACATAACTATACGCCGCCCCTGCCACGAGCATTATCAACCCACGACGGGACGCTTTCCTCTCTTCCAAGTCCTGCCCCTCTCTTCTCTCTCTTCCCTTTCCCTGTTCGCTTCCTCTCAACCTTCTTCCATCCCTCATCCATCTCACCATGGAGAAATGCGGGATCGGGGCCGCGGCTGATGTCGACGGGAGGGGTTGCTTGGGCTCGGTATTCACATCGGCATGCAGAGCGTCGGACAGTGAATCTGAGGAGCTATGATACAACAGACATCCGAGGACTCAGGAGCCTCTCTGACTGTCTGTCATGTGCGCATCGATGGTGAAAGGCAGATGGATGGAGGAGGAGAAGTGGAGTGAGCAGGTGGCCTTCGGAGGAAAGAAGGGCTGAGAGCCGTAGTAACTACATGGTTTCTGCAATAGGTACACTGAAATTATGTTTCATGGAACGTCACATCACGATACCTACATATGTGAACACTTGTTCTATAGCCAATGCAAAGGCTGAACCACGAATTCCAATTCCAAAGCACTCAATTGAGAGCCTGGTCCTTCACTAGTCTATAGGCCGACTCGAGTTTGGTATGTATCCAAATGAGAGAGAGCTCTTGTTGCTCGCCGGAATCGGGGTGTCGACGGGATGTATGTAGTGCGAGGCATTGGTCAATGGTCATGGCATCCCAGAGCGAGTCAGTCCCATCAACTGTCATTCGCAGCAAACATCCCCCAAAAAATAAGGCAGTACACTGGCTCGACCGGCTAATCACTTCTGTATCTGCGGATACCAATTTGCAAACCTCTGACCAGTTCATCCGTCTCCTAAAATCCGACTTTTATACTCATGTACTACCTATAAAATAGCAAACGCCGAACGCCATAAATTATCTCCCGCTCCCTCCCACTACTCTAGCTAAAGTGGATACCCTCCATATTGAAAGCATATAGCAGCTTCAAGAAGTCTCCCTCCTCGCACTTGACGGCACGCTTCTCTCCCAGCCCCGTTTCCACGAGCACCTTGTCGACCTTTGCCCTGACGAGCTCCTGCACACGGCCCCTCTTCTTCTTCCCCACCTTGACCTTGATCTTCTGCACCTGTCCCGTGCCCATATCATCGTCGACCTCCATCTCCTCAACCTCCTCCTCGCCATCCACAGGGACGTCCTCCATCTCGACCTCCTCATCGACGGGCACATCATTCGTGGCACACCAGGTCCTATAATTCTTCTCGACGATCTCCATGACGGCCCTGCTCGCGAAGCCAGCGCGCATCGTCCGATTTCCGCGCACAAACACGATGCGCAGCAGGCCATCCCACTCCTCGTAGCTAACCGTGGGCCTCGGGTTCTTTGGCTCGATGCGCACCACGGAGCTCTCCACCTTCGGCGGCGGCTTGAAGTTGTTCTTCCCGACCTTGAGGATGTGCGTGCAGCGCGCCCACATCTGCGCATTGACCGACAGGCGGCAGTACAGCGGGTCGCCGGGGCGGGCGACGAGGCGCATCGCGAACTCCCGCTGGAACATGAGCACGCACACGCGCGGGGCGGGCGACAGCGCTAGCAGCTTGAACACCAGCGGCGACGAGATCTGGTACGGCGTGTTGGAGATGCAGACGTCGAAGTAGGGCAGCTCGGTCTTGATCACGTCGCCGAGGAGGATCGAGAGCTTCTTTTCGAACGGCGTGCCCTGCACTCGTTTTGTGAGCTCCGCCGCCATGCGCGGGTCCATCTCGACCGCTTGCACGTGCCGCGCTTTCTCGAGGATCTTGACTGTCAGGTTGCCGGTTCCGGGTCCGACTTCGAGGACGATCTGCTGGGTGGTTAGCAGCTAGTTACACGGATGGTGCGGATGCGCGTGGAGTAGTGGAGGTGGCCCGTACATCGCTCTGCTTGAGCCCCGCTTTGTCGACGATGGCTTGGGCAACTCCAGGGTTCTTCAGGATGTGCTGGCCGAGGTCTGTGTTCATCTTGAACACCTTGTTGACCGCCTTACTCGCGGCCTCTTTCGCTGATGCCGATGGGCCGCTGCCTCCTCCGCCACGGGAGTAGGGTTTGTCGCCGCCGTGGCCGGAACGCTTTTGGACCTTGCCCATGATTGTGGTTGTGAGAGGATGCGAGGGTGTCGTGCAGTGTTGGTGTGTGCGACTGACTGACTCGTTGGTGGGGCGACTCGAGCAGGTGAAAGTTGGGTTGAGGCTCAAAAGTTTAATTTTTTGCGCCGGACTAACCGAAAAGAAACAACCCTAAACCCTTGGTGGATATTGGTATGTATTCGTATTCGCAGCCGCACTCGCCTCACCTTTCCGGTCCCTGGTGACGAGCAAGTCGCCCGCTGCCGTCGATAAGCCCATTACATCTGTTCATCAGTCGAGCTACCTAGTACTCTGCATAGTCAAATGATAGAATTCCATACTCTGGACCCAGGGTTGTCAGGGATTTGGGGTTCAAAGTCTGCACATTTTCTGCACCATGGAGTCCACTCTTCAGGCGGGCGAACTGATCTCACACGCGCACGATATCGTTTCATCATGTACGCACGAGTAAACAAAGATGCAAGCGAGAAAGCGAGCAACATAACATCAAGGCAGTAGCAAAAGACAGAACCCCTCCCAAACTATCGCCATGGCTTACGCTCCCTCCTCTCTGGCTTTCCTGTAACTCGCCTGCAAAAAAAACCCAATCGCATCAGCACCCGCCGTTTATTCATCAATCATTCATTCATTCCGTACTCCCGGCTCCTCTTGGACTTGAGGCCATCCGATATCAGCCACAACAAAGGAAATCCCCCGTAATCGGCTAAAGAGAAAGGACGAGGCGAGGGATAGATTCATACCTCCTGTTCAACCTGAAGACTATCAATCAACGGCGCCAACTCGGAGTAAATCTCGAAGGCCTTCTTGTGGAACTCCAGCTGAGCTTGCACAAGATCGGCCAGATTCCTAAGTGGTTCGGGAGTATCCAGCACATTCTTCATAACACCGACGGCCTCCTCAGTGCAGCCCACGAACTCGTCTTCTGCTGTCTCGATCTCGACACGCTGAGCCTCAGTGAGGTTCTCGTCGCCAGTGTGTTCTTTCCTGCCCGCAGCACCGATCGCCGGGAACCCAAATCCACCGTTCTTGGCACTCGACTTGGCCGCATCGAGCGTCAGTCGCGCGTTCTCGACGTTCTTGCGGGCCTTCTGCGCGAATGTGATGTTGGTGTTGAGCGTAGTGGTGAAGGCGGAGTTGAACCGCGAAACGATCTGGGCATCCTGCTGCAGACGCGCTTCGCCGACCTGCTCGGAGGCGAGCGCATACTTCTCGAGGGCGGTAGCGAGAGGGTCATTGGGCTCGAGGAGATGCGCAGATGTGAGAGAGGCCCGACCAAGGGCGTGGTTGAAGGTCTTGGGCGCAGACTTGGTGCCAGGCTTCGTGAGGGCCGACTGGGCTTCAGCGGCGGATGAGGCGGACGCTAGGAGCTGGACCTTTTCCGAGACGGTGCGGGAGAGGTCCAGGAAGCTCTCGCGCTGCGCGGGGAGGGGGGGGTTAGTAATGCGTAAAGCGACAGGGTAGTGAGATGACGTACGAGGTTAGGAGGGTAGTCGTAAGACTGGAAGGGTTGTCAGTCAGTCAGCAGGGTCCCTTGTCACGAGCGGTGTTTCGAAACAAACCTCGTTGGCGTACTGGGACCTGCGAAACGGGGTTGTCAGTCGGTGTAAGAAAGGAGGATTCTATTACTGGGACAAGCTCACGTAACAGATAGCAGCTGCTGGTGCACTTGCTTGAGCGCATCGACGCGTTTCTCGAGCTCAAGGTAGTCCGCCGGGAGTTGAGTCTGTCTCAGTTAGCTGCTGCAGCCAAGTGCGGGGCACTTCAACTCCATCCGCGAAACGGAACCGAAGGGAAAGCTCGAGAGGGAGCTCGGTCGAGGAGGATGCAGCAGCAGACACAGCGTAGATGGGGAAATCAACCTTATCCTCAGCTTGTCCGAACTGCTCGCGCACGAACTGTCCGGTGCGGGCAGCGAACGGCGAGAAGCTCGCGGTGATGTTCGTGCCGATATTTTGAAATCTGCTCATATCCATGGTGGGCGGTGTGTAGTGTATGTGTTGATGGTTGAAGTGAGGAGGTAGACGATACTGGTGGATGAGGGTTTCGAAGTGGGCAGCGGGCAGAGGTGAGGGACAACTCCGGGGGTGTCCCGCACCACCACGCTAGTCTTGGCATCCAATATCGGTTACATTAAAGGGTTCTGAATGGGGTTAGATGTAGACGAGGCCTTGCGCTGAGTGTATCTAATCTTATCGTTCATTCAACGGAGCATCATTCATCATTCGATTGCTGCATTTCGGGCGCTGAGTGTAATTTTGTCCTCCATTCAGTCTGGTTGCCATAGTCTAGTAAGGCCGTATGCGACAATAAATTGATGTTCTCTCTCTCTCCACCATTCGGTGGAGCATCATTCATCATTCGATTGCCACATTCCGCCCGCTGAGTGTAATTTGGTCCTCCATTCAGTAGAGCATCATTCATCATTCGATTGCTACATTGTGCGCGCTGGGTGTAATCTTCTTCATCATTTGATTGCCACACCGAGCCTACATGTGTATATCTAGTACAAGAGATCGCTAGAAAATCCCGCCATATGATTCCGAACTACCTACACCGAATTGTCTTCGGTGATCATGCTCGCACACTTCTCACCCACAGCATACGCCAGCATTTGCGTATGCCCACAGATGAGAGTCGGCATGACACTCGTATCTGCCACACGCAATCCTTTGACGCCACGAACCCGAAGTCTCTCATCCAGGACGGCCTGCGGATCCTGATCGATGCCCATTCTACACGTGCCACTGGCATGATAGCCTGCTTCATCAGTCACGGCCATCTCGACACGGGAGGGGGAGAGCTCACAAGTCGTGGCGTTCTTCTTCACGAACGCCGCCCACTGCTCTCTGCTCTCGTACTCGTGATGCTTCGCTTGCGGTGGCCAGGCAGCCTTGACGATATCCCTGGTACCGGCGCCGTTCATGACGATCTCGTTCGCATACCTGCACGCCTCTGCAAGCACGAGGAGATCCAGCGGGTCGTCGAGGTACTTGTGGTCGACGACCGGCGTGTCGAGCGGATCGTTGCTCTTCAGCGTTACCGTCCCTCTCGACTGCTGACCGAACAGCTCGGGGATGATGGCGAACGCGGACTCGCCGCCGAGCGGGAAGTCGGCGTACTGCGATGGGCCGCCGTAGCACTCGGTCGTGAAGAACTCGATGTTGGGTTGCGCCGGCGTGAGGCCCATGGGGTCGTAGCCGTCCTTTCGCGGCGCATCCTGCCACAGCGAGGAGTCCGAGAGGCGCTCGTCAAGACGGGTGTAGGCGAACGCGCCGAATGGGAAGTCGGTAAGGAAGCCGGTTTGGGTTTCCTGCCACTGCTGCACGGCCGCCTGATGCATGCCCTCGGCGTAGATGCCGCGGTCTTTGGTGACCCCGGCTTCAGAGACTTCATAGAACATGAACACGATCTGGCCCTCATCAGTACATGCCGGAATGAATGGGGGATTCCAGCCAGAATGAATGGGGGGATTCCAACCAGATGATCCATCAAGTTCTTTCCAACCCCGGGTAGATCGACTTTACTCTCGATGCCGAAGCCCTCGACCCCCTCCTTCGCACCAATGCCGGAGCGCATAAGGACGGCTGGCGAACAATACGCCCCGCCACTAACGACCACCTCCTTCCTCGCGCTCACCGTCCTCCTCACGCCATTCACACCCACGATCTGCACGCCCTTCGCCCTCCACTCGGCCTCCTCCCCCTCCCCCTCCCTCTCAAGCACAACCCTATCTACCATGGTCTCAGTGCGCACCTCCAAATTCCCGCGGGCAGTAGCAGTCCTGACGAAATCCGCCGCGGTGCTCCTGACCCCGTTATGCACCGTCCTGACCGCATGCCCACAGCCCACGGCCGTCTCGCCAGAACTGAAAATATCTGCGCCCAACGGCATGCCCACGCCCACCATACTCTCCAGCACCCGCTGCGTAATTGGTGCCGGGTCCATAGGCGCCGTATGGAGCATCCCAGCCGTCCCATGACTCGCCGGATCATACGCGAACCAACCCTTGGGATGAAAACACTCCGCCTTCCCTCCCACACGTCAGCCCAGCCCCCGCCACACCCACAGCAGCAGCAGCAACACACCTTATTCATCCATGCCCACACCTCGTCCCCGCCCCAGCCCGGCAGGCCCCACTCATCATAGTCCCGCTTTACGCCGCGCACGCACAGCGTGCCATTGCACGCACTGCAGCCGCCCAGGAACTTCCCGCGGCTCACCGCAACCTGCCGGCCGTCCAGGCCTGCCGACGGCACCGTCTGTATGTTCCAATCCGCGGAAGTGTTGAAGCCGGTTTTCCACCTGCGGGGGAGGTCAGCACGGGGAGAGGAGGGGGAAAGGGGGGGAGGAGGGGAGAGCTAACCCCCCCGCGAAGCGTGTGAATGCGTGCGAGAGGTGGTCTTTGCCCGCTTCGAGAAGCAGGACCGTTGCGTTGGCGTCTGAGGCTAGGCGCGCGGCGAGGACGGCGCCCGTGGTGCCGCCGCTATGTATAGCATATATAAGCATGTATGTAACCACGAGGACGGGGAGGACAAACCCGCAGACAATGTAGTCGTACTCCATCGCCGCCGCCGCCGCCGCCGCCGCCGCAGCGGGATTCGGCGAGTGATCGTGGGAGAAGGAGGAATGGGAATTGGCAGTCATTATCGATCTTGTATTGCTTCTGAGGATTTTTGGACGGGCAGGAGCACTCTTATCTCCTCCTCCTCCTCCTCCTCCCGGGCTTCCTACCGATATGGAACCGGCGAGACCCGACCCAGCCCAACAACCGGTATGTTGTGCGAAATTGGAATTCGACGCGTGTCTCACATACGGATTACCTATGTTTCGAGTGCTGCATCATGCATGCATACACAGTGCACGGCGCAAGGCGTTGTGGCACGGTACGGTACGGTATGGTATGGTATGGCCCCCTGCACTGGCACTGGCACTGGCACTGGTACTGGCACTGGCACTGGCACTGGTACAAAGCAGAGCACGTAGGTATGTACCTAGAGTACGCACATAGAGTGCGCACGCACGCATGTGTAGGATACTGTAGTTATCTCTGCAGACGATCTGCAGAAGATCTGCCGAGTCGGTCTTACATATGGGATCTAGATTTCTTGGACGGACTACCTATGGCATGTGGAGTATTGGAGAAGAAGGAGGAAGGGAAGGAAGGGAAGGGAGGGAAGGAAGGGAAGGAAGGGAAGGGAGGGAAGGAAGGGAAGGAAGGGAAGGGAGGGAGGGTGGGACCGGGGGTTTTGAGGCGCTTTTTCTTTACTGGTATATCTTCATATCTCCATATCTCCATATATCCATATCTCCATATATCCATATCTCCATATATCCATATCTCCATATATATCTCCTCTGTTTTTCTTTCCCAAGATCTCTCGTCCGTTAACTACTAGATCATACGCTTTTTGTGGAAGAGTTGGCCGGAGAATCGGAGATCAACAGGGAACCCCCCCCCTCCCACCCCCCACACAAACATCTCGCGAGCGATCGGCCGACCAGCGGTCCGAGACAGTGCAGTGGCGAGAAATCGGACGTGTACTACTCTACAGCCATGATCTATCATCTACTCTAGAGTACCAAGGCCGAATGCTCTGATGATTAAATAAAAATGAAAAATAAAAAACAAGTCAGTGGAGGTGGAGCATACTAAGTCACTCGTCAGCAGTTACTCGCCCGGGGAATCACGAGCCTTTTTCGTGGATTACATAGTACTATAATACTGTATCCTTACCAGTTGAGTTGTCCGGGACTCTGCTGGATGCAGCAGCACCGATCTCCAGCCATGCCATGCCGGAACCAGAACCGGAACCGGACCGCAGACAGACAGACAGACACGCGGACGGCGGGAGTGCACAATATCGCCCTTCATCTACCTACATAAGGTAGGTAGCTAAGTAATCAATGATTACATACGAATAGACGAAGAAAAAGAAAGAAAAAAGAGTCGTTCATTGGGGGCAGCCATCCAACCATCCAACCAGCCATCCAGCCATCCAGCCATCCAGCCATCCATCCATCCATCCATCCATCCAGCCATCCATCCAACCGGACCATGCGGCGTACATAAACAGTGACAAAACTCCGAGGGTTTACGCCGCCGCCGCCACCGCCGCCGCCGTGGGTGGGGGGGACGGACTGCGTGCGAGTGAGCGTGATTAAACGAAAGGAAAAAAAAGAGTCCTTTCGTACATAGATCCAGAGCGGGTCCCCAAGATCCAAGATCATAGGATACCTGTGAATTGATATCTACAGAGTTTGTTTGCTCGTGCACAGTTTTGCACAGTTGAACTCCAGAGTCGACGAGTCCCTCCAGCCCAGCCCAGACCAGACCAGGCGAGACCAGACCAATATCCTCGGCAACACGACCATCCATCGATTTTGGGGCGGGAACGAACCCCGTAGGTAGGAGGTATGTATGTATGATGTAGGTAAGTACATGGCTATTTCGTTGCATGAAATATCACTAGACACCCCAAACCCAAACACCCACTCTGGATAGGATAGGCGACAACAGCAAATTACAAACCCACCCACCCGGCCCCACCCCCCAGCACCATCTATTTTGAATTCTTGCCCGCTCCGCTACCTAAGTACCTAGGGTGCGTAGCCATCTACCTTTTCGCAGTCCTCGAGCCCTCCGCCTCCGCGGCCAGCTCCCTCGCGACCCTTCCGAACCATCCAACACCGCCATAGACCATGCCGGTGTATCCCATAACGGCGTTCGCGCCCATCTGCACGCACCTCATAGCGTCCTTGCCGTTTGTGACGCCACCGCTGGCAACAATCTCGACATCCCTACCCAGGCGGCGACGATACTCGCCTACGAGGCTCAGGGTCTTTGGCAGGAGCGCGGGGCCGCTGAGGCCGCCGGCCTCGAGCACCGAGATGCGCTTCTCCTCCTCCGAGGTCTGCGGGGAGCCGGTGAGGCTTGCGGGGCGCGCGGTGGTGGTGTTGGCGACGATGACGCCGGCGACGCCCGCGTTGCGGATCGCCGCGCAGATGTCGCTGATCTGGTCGGGCGAGTCGGAGTCGGGCGAGACCTTGACGACGACCTTGGGCTTGCGGGCGCGCGCGGTGACTTGCGACGCGGCGGTGACGACGGCAGATAGGAGCTCGGTGAGTGGCTTGGCTGCCTGCAGCGTGCGCAGCCCCGGCGTGTTGGGCGACGACACGTTGACGACGATCACGTCGGCGTACGGGCCGAGCTTCTGCACGCACTCGACGTAGTCGCGCTTGACGGCCGCGAGGTCGGTTTCTGGCGTGGTCTTGTTCTTGCCGATCTGTACGGCGAGGACGCGGCCCGGGTGGAGCGAGGCGGGCAGCGAGGCGTCGGCTAGCACCGCGGATTCAGTGGTGCCGTTGGCTACTGCGTAGCGCCGCACTCGGTCGCGGAGACGCCGCGCCACAGTGTCCGCGCCCACACTGTTGAAGCCGTAGCGGTTGATGAAGCTGCATGAGGTCGGGAGGCGGAAGAGCCGCGGGCGCGGGTTGCCGTCCTGGGCTCGCGGCGTCACACAGCCCACCTCGATGAAGCCGATCGCGGGCGAGAGCGTGAAGAGGGCGTCAATGCATTCCGCGTGCTTGTCGAGGCCGGCAGAAATCCCAAGGGGTGTGTTTACGTCGAAGCCCCAGAGCGTGCTGCGAAGGGTCGAGAGGTAGTCGGGTGTACCGCGCTCGTGCAGAGGCGCTCCGAGGTTGTAGGCGAGGTTTAGCGCTCGGAGTCCGAAGACGTGCGCGGCTTCGGGCCCGGGACGCGAGACATCGTCGCCGCTAAAGATGTACCGCAGCAGAGGCGGGACCATGTATGTGTGGATGGAGGAGCGGGTATCGGTTGCTTCCACGTAGCTGTCATGCCCCACCCGCCTCAATCAGCCACCCATTCGCCGCCGCCGCCGCCTCCCCCCCCGCTATGAGTAGTAGACCTACCCGAAACCGAGGAGTCCCAGCAGTACCGTGCCGTAGATTCCATTGCGCAGACGGTTGAAGGGGGAATTGAGGGCGCGGGCTTTGGAGGAGATGGTGCGATGGGAGGTCGTGGTGGTCGTGGTGGTGGTAGAACGAATCGCGGCACTTCGAACGGCCCGGAGGACTGTCGGTGTGGGCCGGAGGAGCGTCATGGTGTGCTGGTGGGCAGGTGAGTGTGTACGGCGGTGTGAAAGATTTCGCCGTTTCGGCTGCCAACAGCTTCGGGTGTTGCCGCGCGAGTGACGTCGGGTCCCGAAGTTACCCGGAGAGAGTGGAAAGATGTCAATGTGGAGGGAATCACTTCAGTCCAAGTAAGTACCTATATCTCCATCTTGAGCTGAATTCAGTAGGTATGGGAAGTGGCCTGAAGACAACTAGGGCAATCACTGCAAATTTGGGATTTAGACTCGGCCCGAGACTTGACCCCACGAAGACAGATGACAACAAAAGAAGTAGCTGGCCGCCATGTGTATGTATTTTGCAGCAACACGAATACACACGTATTCACAATCAAGAAAATGCTGTACAAAACTCCCTTATTCTCATCTTCTACCGAGTCGTAACGGACCCCCCAGTTTCCATCCCTCATTCTTATCCCCCCGCCCCTCTACGGGGTAGCAATCTGCCTCTCAAACCCTACCCACTGCCCCTCCTCCGGCACAACCTCCAGTGGTTCCCACACCTTATCATCACGCATAGTCTCGGCGCACTGCAACTCACCCCATCCCTCCTCGATGACTTCTTCCAAGAGCCCCTCGCCGATCTTCTCCTCGATCTCCATAACCTGTTCAGCGGTCAACTGGGGCTCGAGGTCGATCTCCGTCTCCTCCTGGCGCATCAGCCTCTGAAGCTCCTCGTTATGCTCCGCATCGGCCAGCAAGTCCTTGACGAGCGGGTCCGCGGTGTTCTGTGGCAGCTTGCGGGTGTCATGGCTCTCAGGCACAGCGAAAGCGCGCCAGTGCTCCATCTCCTGCTTCGCATACGCGACGTTTCCCGAGAAGGTAGTCCTGTCGACGAGAGTCTGCAGCTGGGCGCGCATGTACACGGCGACGTCGGTGATGTCGACGTCGCCCTGCAGGCCGTTCTGGCGGCGCGTGGCGAGGTAGTCGTTCCATCCCGCGGGCTTGACCGACTTCAGGATCTCGAGCCGCGCCCGCGTCAGGTTCTCGGCCGACTGCCGGTACACGCTGTGCGAGGGCAGCGAAGAGAGCACGCTCAGCGTGTGGTTGTACAGCGCGATCAGCGCCGGCCGCGGGTGCGGGTGCGTGAGAACGCCGGTGATGCCCGTGGGGGAGAAGGCGGGCAGCCGCGCCGTCAGGAGCCGGGTGGTCGGGCGCATCGTGGATGAAGAGTTGGTGGGGGTGCTGCTGCTGGTGATGGTGGTGGTGGTGGTGGCGGGGTGCGGTGGTGATGATGAGGGGAGAGAGATCCCGGTGACGGTGCTCTACTCCGGCTAGTGGTGGGTTGATTGGCTTTAGCGATTGGCCAATCGAATCTACGGTGATGCTGGTCACCACGGTGGATGAGATTACTAATACGGGGCACGGCGCATCACTCGGCTCGGACGATACTACTCGGCATCGGAAACTTCGAGAGCTGTACCATAATGAGCTCGGACGGACACGTGCATATCACCATGAGCTAACAAGTTCGGATGCAAAGATGATTGAAACAAAATTGAGAGGGTTCTACACCGCCGCCGCCGCTGTGGGTGGGTTCAAGAACTGCTCTGAATGAAAGAGCCAGCAGAAAATCCTGTGGGCACAGGTCCGGAAGCATACGAGGAGGGGCAAAGGTCGATTCAAGATCCAGGACCTCTTCGCAGACGCGCGATGTAGCAAGCGATTCTGGAATTCCTCTCCTCCACTGATGTGGGCCGACGGATGCCTGAGACCGCTGAGAGCGAGGTCTCCGAGTGGGAGCTCAGGGAGCGGGAGGAAATGGAGGCGGAACTAAGGCGGGAGGAGGAGGGAGGTGCTGTGGGTGAGGAGCCGGGCTCCGGCCCGCTGTTCTTCCCCACACCGTCTTTCATGGCATCCCCTTTTGAAGAGGCAGGAAGCGGCGACGACTAAGGACCTGCGGCAAGGCAGGGACAAGTCGAAGGAGTGGAATTTGGTTTTTCCTAGTGTCATTTCGTTGATGCGCTCATCCATTGCTGGGACAGGCCACGGCGGGGGCAGGGAAAGCCACATCGGGCCACTCGATGAAAGTTGGGTCGGACAGCGGCGAGGAAACTGAGTGTGTACATATATTGCCATGATCTACTTATGTAATAGTACTCTACGGTACTAGGTATACCCAGTCTTTGCCAACGGTGAGTGAGTGAGGGATTGAGTGAGTGAGTGACTGCGTGAGTAAAGTGAGGTGAGTATCATGTACTTGTCGAAGTGAGTTCGTTGAATGAGTAGGGCGAGTTGCTGCGAGCATGCTGCCGGCAATCTTCGCACTGAGGGGAAGGTGCATACTAGATAGTAGATACCAAGTACATACTACTTACATACCGGTAGTAGGAGGTACTTGGGCATGCTATGTATTACATACATACATTCGACCACGCGTGCCCCACGACCCGGATATCGATGTCCAGCTGATCTCCCTCTCTCCCTCTATGTATGTATGCATAGAGTAGAGTACTCTACAAACACGTTTGTTTTTCATCTATGGGGGAGGAGGGGACCTTCTCCGAATCCCTCCCTCGCCCCCCCCCCTCACCCCCCCCCCCCCCCTCCCCCCCCCTCCCTTCCACCCACGTTGGGGGCACAGACCATGCCCCGCCCCGCCCGGCCCCAGGTTAACAATTCTACTTAGTACTCTACTCTACCTACCTGCATAACTGCATACAGATGTCGATTTTCCCTTTATTTCACGGGACTTCTTCATTCGCTCGCTCGCTGCTGATGGGTTATGTAGAGTACTTCAGGTAACCGCTTGCGAATCCACTCACTGTCCAATCCACACCCAGGCCAGCCTCCGGGCCGGGGCGCAGCTGTGGGATGGGATGTCCCACGTGCACGTATGTATCGTATGTATCGTATGTATCGTACGTACGTAGAATAATTGGCTGCTGCTGCGTGCTATAGTACTTAAGTAACTACCGTAACTGTTAGTTAGGTAGCTGGTAGCTGGTAGCTATATAGCTATGGGGGTAGTAAGGTAGTAAGGGTTGCCTGAATATGTACTCTACTCTACTCTACCCACTGTAGCTCCGCGGAGTCGGCGAGGTGGGTAACAAGTTTGTATGATGTATCTACTTTATGTAGTACGGTAGTTTTGAGGTGACAATCACGGAGAGATGAGGTAGGCATAGAGTATGCGTGCACACTGCACTCTACTCTATGTATGTGGAGACTCGGTACTCTCGGTACCGGTTCACCGGTGTTGGGAGGCGAGCGAGCGAGCCCTTTCGTATGTACCTACTCTACATACTCTACATATAGAGAGAGTGGCCCGTTGCAAACTTGCAGTTCCAAGGGAGCAGATGGATGGAGGAGAGCACCTACTCTACGGTATTTCAACTTCAAGCGAAGCCCGCAACTGCCACTGCCACTGCCATCGCCACTAACTACCGTTGCTCGGTACCGTGGTTTGATGACGGTGCACGGACGGGGACGGGGACAGGGACGGATGATTGCGGGGGGGGAGGGGTCGGAGCGAGAACGAGAACGAAAGGGGACAGACACTGGACGGACGGACAGACAGACAGACTTGAGTCAGTCAGGCAGAGACTGCACGAAAACGAAATGCGTAACTGGGTATACTAGGTAGGTATACTATTATACTCTACTCTACCTGTTGTGCTTTGTATATGGATAGGTAGTCGAAACATAATAGGTATATCAGGTAGATAGCGAGGCGAGTAGGTACCGTATGTACTCTATGTAGGCATGGAAGTGGCCGGCCGTTTTTCATGTCCGTCCGTCCTCGCTCCCCATCGGGCCCATCCATCCCTCCCCCTCCGATTCTCCGAATTCCCATCCCGCTGCACCAGCACCAGCACCAGCACCAGCACCAGCACCTGCACCTGCACCGCTCAGCTGGGAGGGGGAAACCATCCATCGGGTGAGTCCGTCCGTTGGGGTCCGTTAGAAGTTGAAACCTGGGACACCCATCCACCCACCCATCCACCCACCCATCCATCCATCCACCCATCCATCCATCCAGCCCCAACAAACAAACAAAATTTAACAAACCGGTCGGCTTACCTACATATGTAGAGTACTCTACATATGTTCCAAGCAAGGCGAGAAGCCCCCCCCCCCCCGACTCCCCTTCCCTTCCCCGGAGATACCCACTCCACTTCACTCCAGTGACTCCACTCCACTCCAGTGACTCCACTCCACTCCAGTGACTCCACTCCATCCAGGGCCCAGGGGCGGGGGCCGACCCATCCATTCGTTCGTTCGTAACCTCGTCTCGTCTGGTTTCTTTTCTTTTTTCGCGTACCTACTCTACCCTACTCTACTCCACATACCCAACTACAAGGTAGAGTAACTATCACGGTTCGCCTCGCTCGTGGGATGTATGTATGTATGTGGGCGGCGTAGATATGTAGGCGTGGTGGGTATGTAGGTGGGTTTCAAGGCAAGGCAATTGCAAGCAAGACATGCAGTCCGCCCCACCAAGCACCAAACCACCAAGCACCTCACGCACCTCAGCAACCGACCGACTCGCGACTCGCGTCCAGCGAGTCGGTAACTACCTCCTATGTACGCTGATGTATGTACGAGTAGAGTACCGTACCGCGGACCGGGACCGGGTTCGCCAGCTGAGCTGCACTGCACTGTCACAGCCTCACAGACAGACAGCCTCACAGACTCACAGGGGGAGCGGGATATGTACGGTAGGTAGTCAACTCTGTTGGAACTTGTTGGAACTTGGACGTGGGCGCGCGCGGGGGGGGGGGGGGGCGCTCAATTAGGCGAGTATCTACCCACCTACCCAAGGTACAGGATGGAAGCGGTGGCCTCGGAGTTGCGGTGTCGTCCGGTCAGTAAGTTGGTACATAAGTTGGTAAGTCGGTAAGTGCATACATAAGGCACCTCGTATGTTTCGGCGATGCCGGCGGCGAGCCGCGGCAGAGCAGAGCAGAGCAGAGCAGAGCAGAGCAGAGCAGAGCAGAGCAGAGCAGAGCAGAGCAGAGCAGAGCAGAGCAGAGCAGAGCAGAGCAGAGAGAAGGGGGGATGGGGGGGGGGATGGGCGTGCAAACGAATATCTGTACCTAAAGTACCGATCATCCGCACCGCACCCACCGGACGTCGGACGTGCTGTGTACCCACTCTGCATACTCTACATACTCTACATACTCTACTTCCCTCCCTCCCGGCGGCGCCGACATCCCCGTATACCTACCTACATCATACCTAGTAGATATAAGTATTGTACATATTGTACTCTATGTACCTACCTATGGCCGATCATCTACTTTCTCGCCGTTTCATACTGTCTCGGTCGGTCGGTCGGTCGGTCGGTCGGGCGAGTGATGGGCTGTGATGCGATGCGATGCGATGCGATGCGATGCGATGCGATGCGATGTGATGTGATGTGAATCCCACCCACCCTCCCTCTCGTTCTGGTGTCTGGTCTGCGTGCGGTCCTCCCCGTGCCCAAACCCATCGCCGCTCGAGGGGGTGAGCTGGAGTACTCTACTCTATGTAACTCATCCACGCCCACGTGATGGTGCGGAAAAGCCACGCCTGGCCAGGCAGGCAGGCAGGCAGGCAGGGGTGTACTGTACTGTACAGTACAGTACACAGATCGCCGGAACGTCGGAACGTCGGAAACCCGTGGATGGAGATGGAGGTTTTACACATTAACCGAGGAATATGTGCTGTATCTACCTATGTATCTATCGAACTCACACATCATCATGCACGCACGCACGTGATATCACTCGAGTCACCCGCCCGCCCGCCCGCGCCATCCGGTTATGTACATAGACACATACATACCCAGTGGAAGTTGTACTCTATGTAGCGGGTATGTAGATCTACGCGGCTGTGCTGTGCTGTGCTGTGCTGTGCTGTGCTGTGCTGTGCTGTGCTGTGCTGTGCTGGGGCTCGGAGGCATGACTGACTGACTGACTGACTGACTGTTCGCCACAATATGTATGCACATACATATTCCATCCGGCTATGTATGTATTATTCTCTCCAGTCTCCTCGGCGCTCACTGCGGGAGGGGGGAGGGGTGGATTGGGTCCAGACAGACAGACAGGAAGACAGATGGACAGACAGACGGAACTCAATTCCATTCAATTCCAGGGGCGTCCGGCGTCCGGACTCCGGACTCTGGAGACCGGAGATATCATAGGTTGATCACTGCTACTACTACATACCGGTACTACTAGTAGCAGTAGTAGTAGTAGCAGCAGTAGCAGTAGCAGTAGCAGTAGCAGTAGCAGTAGCAGTAGCAGTAGCAGTAGCAGTAGCAGTAGTAGTAGCAGTAGTAGGAGTATGTA